TATTTATTTATTTGAAAGAGCGTGCAAGCACGAGCACAAGTAGGGACGAGGGGCAGAGGGAGAGGGAGAAGCAACTCCCTGCTGAGTGGGGAGCCCGACATAGGGCTTGATCACAGGACCCTGTGATCCTGACCTGAGCCGAAGGCAGACTCCTAACTGACTGAGTCACCCAGGCACCCCTCTTCACAACAATCTTATAATCATGATAAATGCGGTCATTATTACAGAGCAGTGAAGTCCCTTACTCAGGTGGTAGAACTGGAATTTAAACTCAGGTAGTCTTGCTCCAGAGTCTGGGCTCTATCCACTAAGCAAACCTTTAAATAGTGAGTGTATCTCCTAACATTTCCTCTTTGTTAGAATCCTGAATATGGGGCGCCTGGGTGGCTCAGTTGGTTGGGCGGCTGCCTTCGGCTCAGGTCATGATCCTGGAGTCCCGGGATCGAGTCCCGCATCGGGCTACCTGCTCGGCGGGGAGTCTGCTTCTCCCTCTGACCCTCCCCCCTCTCATGTGCTCTCTCTCATTCTCTCGCTCTCAAATAAATAAATAAAAAATAAAATCTTTAAAAAAAAAAAAAAAGAATCCTGAATATGTTGTGTCTTTCAGGTCTTTCTGTAGAATTTGGAACAATTCTAATTTACACATGTAAGAAGAGTTGCTGGCCTCAAAATCATCAGACTCCCATGGAAGAACTTTGTATCCTACAAGAAGACCCAGATGAATCATTATTTAAGTAGAGCATTTCCCTTTATTTATATAAATTAAAGTAAATTTTAGTGTCCAGATTTGTGTATTTTTACTTCATTTTGACTCACAGATTATCCACTCTTTGTTGTAAGTGTGGTCCTTTCTGCTTTCTGGCACCTGTACTGGGGCTGCGGTGAGATTTAGAAGCTTCTGGCTGTGGACCCGTCTACCCTCCCAGGGCCAGTTGCTTGTCTCCACAGAGGCAGCTCAGAATGTGGCTCCTCTCCAGCCCAGATTGCGGGTGTTCCCTGCACAAGCAACCTAATGGGCTTTGTCGGAGGGAGAGCGGCCGAAGAGCCAAGGGCAGCGGTCAGCCTCTTACCCCACCTCTGCTGCCTCCGTGCTTCACTGCGCTCTGTTGCAGTCCCTGGATGTTGACCGAACCACTCGACCCACCCTGGCTTCTTGAGGTTCCCACCCTGCTATTTAGCTAGGGCCGCCTAGCTGTTTAGACCCGCCCTGTGTTCTCCCTACTCATGGTCCCCACCCTCACCCCGTCCCACCTTCTGCCCCTGCAGTATCACAGCAAAGGGGCCCCTTCTCTATTCTGGACATTGTCCCTTCTTCCAGGTGGTCACTTTTCCAATCTCCCCTTTCTCCTTTTGGTTTTTATGTTAACCCCTTCCATTCTGCTACACTTGGACAGCAGTATGAAAACATGCCCACCATCTATACAGACTTGCTTTTTGCCTGCAGAGATGAAGAAACTGCTCTAAACAGTTTGATTTGCTACTCTGGCAAATAACACATTAGGGTCCAGATTATCATGAGGAGGGGTTCTCCTGGGCAGTGTGTGACTGGTGGGAACACCACCTGATCCTGCCTCCCGGGGCACCCGAGGGAAAGTGGCTGGCTGTGTACAAACTGAACTTGCTGGTCAGTGAGGCTTTAGGCACGTAGGGGAGGAAGAATAATTTTCTCTTTACCCTTCTAGGTGCTTAGCTGAGACCCCCCCCCATAAGAAAAGACAGATTGACAGGTGAAAAACAGAAGTTTATGTGTACCTCCTATATAGATGGGAGATACCCAGACAAACTGAGTAACTCCTTGAAATGTCCCAAGCTATTACTTCAAATACCACCTTCAGCTGAAGATAAAGACATGTGGGGTGCATGGAACCAGTCACAGGAAGTTACCAGGCAAAGCACAGCAAACAACGGTAAGGTTGTTATATATTGTCAGGGAAATAGGATAATGAGAATATAAGCCCAGTGTGAACCCCTTTAAATGTAAAACTACAGGGACACCTGGCTGGCTCAGTCAGAAGAGCATGCATACCTCTTGAGTTCTAGCCCCACTTGGGAGTAGAGATTAAAAAAAGGAAAGACAAAGGCCATCAAGGGCCCCAAGGAGTAGGATTAGGTATGGGTGGGACTTTGAGCTTTCACTTCCTGCACTTGTATCCTATTTGAATTTGTTAAGGTGGGCAAGCATTTTACACTTTATACTCAAACTCACACACACAAATCCAAATCCACAAAGAAAAGCAAAGGCCCTCAGAATTAGGTAACTAAGCCTAGCCCCGTCTAGGGGAAGAGAAGGGAGGCAGGAGAGAAGCCAAGGAAGGTGGCTCCCATTCGCTGAGTGTCCAGAGGGATAAGTAAGATCAGCATCCTGGGAAGGGTCTCCTTTAAATTTAACTGCCAGGATGGGGTTTTTGTAAAAGTCAGCCCTATGTAGGGAAGGAACATCAGCAGCCGGCTGTGCAGGGGTTCCCCCCCCACCCCCACCCCCGCCCAGGGAGTACTCCGGCACTTCCTGCTCTCATGCCTCAGGACAGCAGCCTGAGTATTCCTCAGAGACTAGACCAGCTTGGTGTGTGGTTGGTGAACCAAGCAGCTGATGAGAAAGACCACAGAAGTCAAAAGCATTTTCCTCTGTTTTCTATCTTTACCTTTTTTCTTTTAAAAATTTTTTCTTACTGAGGGGCACCTGGGTGGCTCAGATGGTTAAGTGTCTGCCTTCGGCTCAGGTCATGGTCCCAGGGTCCTGGGATTGAGCCCTGCATCGGGCTCCCTGCTCAGTGAGGAGTCTGCTGCTCCCCCTCCCTCTGCTTCTCCCCCTGCTCATGCTCTCTCTCTCTATCTCTGTGTCTCAAATGAAAAAAAAAAACTTAAAAAAATTTTTTTTCTTACTGAATATATTCGACATATAATATTGTGTAAATTTAAAGTGTGCAATATGTTAACTTCATACATTTACATATTGTAATATGATTGCTGTTGTAGCAATATTTAGTATGTTAAAAAACAAAATTCAACTGATGAGTTTGAAGATCTAACTGGCTTTATTCAATGATTCATGATTCTGACAACATCCCATCTAGCAAGTAGAAAGGAGTTCTGAGGTGTTCAAAATGGGAGGTGTTTATTGGCAGAAGGATGGTGGGACAGGAAGTTAGAAGAGTAGATTATTTCAGGCAAGGTTACCTAACCATACAAGGGTCTTATCAGGCAGATTAAATCACTAGTGCTGACCAGGAAATTCCACTCCTGAGAAAGGCTGAAACTGCAATTAGGTTAGGTATTAACCTTGGTTTAGCACAAGTGACTCCATTTTTAGCTTTTTGTTTCTTTTTTATAAGCACCTCGATCACATTACATAATTATCTTTCTTTTTAGTATTTGGGATAATTTCTGATTTCAGAGTTAGCATTTTCTTTGAGAAGCATGAACATCTGAAAATACAGAAAATCCTAAAAAATAAATAAAAATTATCCACGATTCCATCACACACAGATACACAAAATATTAACTGTGGTTTTCTGCCTGCTTTTTTTTTTTTTTTAAAGATTTTATTTATTTTTATTGGAGAGAGAGGGAGTACATGAGAGGGGGGAGGGTCAGAGGGAGAAGCAGACTCCCCACTGAGCAGGGAGCCCAATGCGGGACTCGATCCAGGGACTCCAGGATCATGACCTGAGCCGAAGGCAGTCGCTTAACCAACTGAGCCACCCAGGCGCCCTTCTGCCTGCTTTTTAATATATTTTTGTTTTTACAAAATTTAATCTTACAAATAGTTTTGTATCTTTTTTTTTTTTTAAAGATTTTCTATTTATTTGACAGAGAGAGAGACAGCGAGAGAGGGAACACAAGCAGGGGAAGTGGGAAAGGGGCTCGATCCCAGGACCCTGAGACCATGACCTGAGCCGAAGGCAGTCGCTTAACCGACTGAGCCACCCAGATGCCCCAATAGTTTTGTATCTTTTATTTAATGTTATATTGTGAGGATTTTTGAATCATATTTCCAAATTACCCTTGTTTAAAAAAAAAAAAGACAAGCCCAAAATGGAGTTGCTTAGGCTAAGCCTCACATCACCAAGCAGAGACTTACAGTTAGGGTTCTCCCAGAAATGGAATTTTAAACCAGTCCATCAGGAATTGCCTGATTGGGGGTGCCTGGCTGGCCCAGTCTGATGAGTGTGCAACTCTTGATCTAAGGGTTGTGAGTTTGAGCCCCACATTGTGTGTAGAGATTACTTAAATATTTAAAATTTTAAAAAGGTAATCTACCTGATAATCCCCTAAAGGAAAGTAACCTTGCAATAACCAACCCACTTTTGTATAATTTCCTTGCTCCTTTTCTCTTCTAGCCATGAAAGTCTTTCATTTGGTACAGCTCCTCAGAGCTTTTTTATCTCCTAGACTGAATGCTGCCCAATTCAAATCGAGTTTTGCTCAAACAAAAATTTTTAAATATGCCTCAGTTTATCTTTTAACACTCTCTAGAAAAGCTTTGCTTTAGAATCCTTACTTACAGCTACGGGAATGCTTGTTTTCCCATCTCTTGACCACACGGAATGTTGCACTTTTCTGTTTGCTGGCTTCATAAGTGAAAATGATTTAAGTACTCTTTTACATTTCTTTCTTTAAATTTTTTGTTTATTGATCATATTCATTTTCTTTGTGAGTGCCTGTTCACATCCTTGGCCTATATTTGTTGTTTGGGTGGTATTTGTTTTGTTGTTAATTTGTAGGAGCTCTTTACATACAGGGGCATCTGTTTTCTAACCTGTAAGCCTTGGCTGCGAGTTCAAACCCCAGGCTAAAAGGTGGCCCTTAGGTTTCCTAAAGCCAGACAGCGGTTCTTTGCGCGTGAAAAACACGACCGGCTGGAGTACGGCGGGAGGTGTGGGAGCTCCTTCGCGCAAAGCCCAGCCTGGCCCCAAGCAGCTCACTCCACGGGTCCCGGGCGTCGCCCGCTCGGCGCCAAGCGGCGGCCGCAGTGCGCAGGAACGGAAGATGGGCCGCCCTTCCCCCACCTGCTTCCGGCCGCGGCTCAGTTCTCGCGCCTCCGCCTCCGCCGCGGCTCGTGGTCGTCCCGCCATGGCACTGTCGCGGGGACTGCCCCGGGAGCTGGCCGAGGCCGTGGCCGGGGGCCGGGTGCTGGTGGTGGGCGCGGGTGGCATCGGCTGCGAGCTCCTCAAGAACCTTGTGCTCACCGGCTTCTCCCACATCGACCTGGTGAGGGCCAGGCGTGCGCGCGGGCTGAATGGCGGGCCGTATTGCCGGGGCCGGGGGCTCGGGCTCCGGAGGTCGGGACCAGAGTTGAGGTGGCGGGGGTGGTGGCAGCAGGCCTGGAAGTCCGGGGGTCGTGGCTGCCTGCGGAGAGGGCGCTCTTCGGCGGCGCCGGAGCGGGCCTCCCTGCACGCCCGGTCCGCTCGGGACGCCAGAGAGGCCGCGGGCCGGGGTCTTCCGGGCGTCGCGCCGCGCGGCCGCCCCCTGCCTCCCTGGCAGCGCCGGTTTGTGGCGGCTCTAGGCTGTGGGAGCGGCCTCGTGTCTTTTCGCTTCAGAGCAGTTCCCCAGCTTTAGTGGGAGGCGGAGGTGATTGTTTGAGTCTCGTGGATGTTGTGACTTCATTTTGGCGGTCTCCCTTAACTCAGAAATACTGGTCCAGAGCAGAGGGTGGCGGTAATAGGAGGCAATACATACTGAGCGCTTGTCCCGAGCCCGGCGCAGTTCCGAGCGGTTAGCTTGCATTAACGCATCTAATCTTCGCTACCTCCGTAAGGTTGCAAACGCCATTTTCATCCCTTTTTTTAACAGATGAGAGGAAAAGTGAGATTTAGAGGGGTTTTAGTAACTTACTTGGGTCGCGAAGCAAGTGGCAGGACTCTTGGGACTCGCGCTCCTCTCGTTACAGTCTGCGTGACTGTCATTATCTCCGTAGACACACTCGCTTATGTCGTTAAAGATGTTGGTGAAGATTTTAACTTTTGCACTCACGTAGAGTGGCTGTAATTTTAAATTATTTATATTAAACTTTTTAGAGATTGGGGATGTTAGGAAGTTGGATGTGAGTTTAAATTGTCTTAAGGTGTGGTGGAAGCACGGAATGGAAAAAGTAGAAGTAGCAGACTGAACTAATAAATGAGTGACTGGAGGGAAAAGAATTTACACATTTTTTCTTTGGCTGTTAAAAGGTTAGTCTTCCCATCCAGTTCTGTACTGCAGATCCGGATACGATTGTGCTTTAGCTGGTAACTACTGCTGCATGTTTAAAGAAACGTTTTGTAATAGACAAGACCGTGGATTGGGCACCTGAAAAATGCTCATTCTTTTTTATTTGATTTAATTTTTGTAATAAATGTGGAAAGTACAAATAGAAAATGATTAGGTGGTTATATAATGATTTTCAGAAATTATAACCCAAACTGTTAAGCTGTTTCACGATTAGAACGTTTGATTACTCTTCATATAAATTTATTGAAATGGAATGAAAGTCTTTAAGTCATTATTATTTTCTTCCCTTAGATTTATTTAAGCAGCAATTAGATAAAACTTAAAACTTAAGTGACACATTTTTAACCTCGTGTAGACATTTCCTTTAACAGCCCTTAGGTTAATAATAATTGTAAATGGAGTTTTGTGTAGATGAAGACTTTGAACTAAAGCAGCAAACATTCAGTAACTGCCAAGTATCATTTAAGAAAAGAAGTCACAGTTAAATCTAACATACTCGATTTGAAAGAGTAATTAATTAGATTGATAGATAAATGAATTATATATTTATTTTCAACAGACATATAATTTTATGGCATCTAAGGAATTTCCAAACATACTTTCCAGAATGATTAAACAAACAAAAAGATATGTCCTTTCTAAAATATTTTTGAGAAAGTTATCTCTGAAATTAAATCCCAAGTTCTTTAAAATATGTGTTAAATTATTTTTATCAGTTTAATAATTTTGCTATTACTGGTTGAAAATGAAAAGCATTTTCTCTGCTAATGTAACAGATAGCAAAAGTTTTGGTTTGTGGATGCTGAGGATAGTGATCTTGGTCAAACATACCAGAAAATTTGTGATTTATCTGGAGTTTATGCACTTGTAGATTGATCTGGATACTATCGATGTCAGCAACCTCAACAGGCAGTTTTTGTTTCAAAAGAAACATGTTGGAAGATCAAAGGCCCAGGTAACATTTTTCTTAATATACTATTTCTATTTATTCATTAATATTTCTGCACTTTGATGGATCTTCTCTTTCTGTTATCAGATTAATTGGGACTTTTCAGTAGGAGGGCGTATATGGGGGAAGCCACCTCTTTTTACTTGAGAGATTGTGAAGAATAAAGATGTAAAGGACTACACCCTCCTCTGTTTTGGTCTGCTGAGGAAGTAGACCCGCTCTACCCAATCCAGTAAATGGTGTCCCCTTCATATTTAAATTTCTGATTGTTTGCTTAGGATGAGCATTGTTCCAGTGTTCCCCAGAGGTTGACTGCTGTATTTGAGGGCAAGAGAAGCTACAGCCTTATGCTCTTGTTGCACTTTTTCTAAAAGGGTGGCCTTCCCTGAGGTTCTAGTCACCTTGACCTTTCGTTAGTTCCTTGAGTGTTCCATCTTGATTCAGGGTTTGATTGATTGATTGATTGATTTTAAAGATTTTATTTATTTGACAGAGAGAGCCAGCGAGAGAGGGAACACAAGCAAGGAGAGTGGGAGAGGGAGAAGCAGGCTTCCCGCTGAGCAGGGAGCCCGATGTGGGGCTCGATCCCAGGACCCTGAGATCATGACCTGAGCCGAAGGCAGACGCTTAACGACTGAGCCACCCAGGCGCCCCTTGATTCAGTGTTTTAAAACATCTTTTCACTTCGCTTTTCTCCCAACCTTTTTGGCAAACTCCCACTGTTTTCTCGTTTTTAGTTTTCAAATTTTGGCTTTATTCTCTAGGGATACACTCTGACTAAACCTCGTAGACTAAGTCAGACCTTCCTCTCCTAACAACTTCTACTTTTTCTTTAAAATTTTTTTACTTATTTAAGTAATCTTTATACCCAATGCGGGGCTCGAACTCACAACCCTGAGATCAAGAGTAGCCTGTTCTGACTGAGCCAGCCAGGCACCCTGTAGCTTCTACTTTTTCTAGGTATCATTTATCATAGCTTGTAGTTCTGTTTATCAACATTGATCAGTGTCACCTTGGCTCACCAAGTGCTTCATGCAGATCTGGCACATAGAAGATACTCAGTAAATGTTGAATGAATGAACAAATCACACTTAGTTACTGCATTTTATGTTTTTGTTGAAGCTTGCCATTCATGTAGATGTGTATAAGGGAAGGGGCCAGTTCTCCTGTTATTTTATAAATATGTGTATAACTTAATCTTAATGAAATTTTGTCGCATTTTTATATTTCTTTAGTTTTTAATATAAATAGGATATGTAAGTAGGTGAAATGGCAGTGTTGTGTGCCATAAACTTGACATAGAGAGAGAAATGTTGTAGCTATTTAGTAAATTAGTAATTTACTGTTGTTTGTTTTTCCAGGTTGCTAAAGAAAGTGTACTGCAGTTTTACCCAAAGGCTAATATCATAGCCTACCATGACAGCATCATGAAGTATGTTCTGATTATTATGTTGCAAAATTGTGTTTGTTGTCAATTAAACTTCTAAAGCGTTACGTATTTTTAGTAGCCAGATACAGGAGTTTGAAGTCATTCTGCTTTTTATTTTTTTTTTTATTTTTATTTTTTTAAAGATTTTATTTATTTATCTGAGACAGAGAGAATGAGAGAGACAGAGAGCACATGAGAGGGGGGAGGGTCAGAGGGAGAAGCAGGCTCCTCGCCGAGCAGGGAGCCCGATGCGGGACTCGATCCCGGGACTCCAGGATCATGACCTGAGCCGAAGGCAGTCGCTTAACCAACTGAGCCACCCAGGTGCCCCATTCTGGTTTTTAAAAATGATTTTTCTATCCTAACTATAAAGAACAAACTGATGGTTATCAGAGGGGAGGTTGGTGGGGGGTGGGTAAAATATGTGATGGGGATTAAGGAGGGCACTTGTGATGAGTACCGGGTGTTGTATGTAAGTCTTGAATCACTACATAACTAATATTATACTGCATGTTAATTACCTGAAATTTAAATAAAAACTTAGAAAAGAAAAAATGATTTTTCTAGAAAAATTAAAATGTGGTAGCTTGTGCCCGAGTTTTATTAACAGTTTATATATATGATTTAAATGATTTAGATAAGAGGAAATAAGAGGTAAGATATTTTAATACTTTAGGGGCGCCTGGGTGGCTCAGTTGGTTAAGCGACTGCCTTCGGCTCAGGTCATGATCCTGGAGTCCCGGGATCGAGTCCCGCATCGGGCTCCCTGCTCAGCGAGGAGCCTGCTTCTCCCTCTGACCCTCCCCCCTCTCATGCTCTCTCTATCTCAGTCTCTCTCTCAAATAAATAAATAAAATCTTTAAAAAAAAAAAAAAAGATATTTTAATACTTTAAATAAATAAGTTATTTGGAAACATAAAAGGGCTTATAGTTTTGTTTTTTGTTTTTTTTTTAAAGATTTATTTATTTGTATGACAGAGAGAGACACAGTGAAAGAGGCAACACAAGCAGGGGGTAGTGGGAGAGGGAGAAGCAGGCTTCCTGCAGAGCAGGGAGCCCGATGCGGGCCCCGATCCCAGGACCCTGGGATCATGACCTGAGCCGAAGGTAGCCGGCTAACCGACTGAGCCACCCAGGTGCCCCTATAGTTTTGTTTTAAATACAGATACACTTAAACATGAAAAATCCTTGTATGTGATGATTCAGACTTCTAAATATATTGCTCTCATTCTGACTGATTTCAGTTCTGGTCTTTTTCAGTTTAAAAGGTTCCTTCCCAAAATAATTTGTTTATTTGGACTATGACTTTTGTAATATAACGGTAGGAATTGTGACGGGACCATAGTTTTCACCATACATAAATATGCTCTGATCTCAGTAAAGATAGAGTAAATATGTAATTTTGGAAGTGTTGGAACAAAGGAACCCTGGGTCTAAATTATCCTTTATAGTTGTTGCCTAACTTACAAGTAAGTGGTATTAGAAATAATTACTTCTTGTTTGAGGTCTGGAATTAGAGAAAGTCTTACACTTTCTCAGGAAATCTGTATCCAATTTTTTTAATTTCTGGATGTTTGCTCTGCAAACCTTCCTGTAGCTCCATAACCCCCTTACCCTGCGTTGCTTTCCCAGTGCTGCTAAAAGCGGGGACCCTAGAGGCCTGAACCTTGCCTGATCCTGACCATGTGAGGTGAAGCCAGAGGCCAGGCAGATCCTGGGAATGTGTTCTTTATATGTTCCCAGGCTGCCTGGAGAAGGCCTGGTGGGACTGGTGAAGTCATGCCATCTTTCTGCCAGTTTGAGATCGTGCTCTTAGGCCCCAGATTGCTGACCAAAAAGGATGTCAGGTCACAGGGATTAAGGGGAAATTATTTCTTTGAAATCTGCTCTGGTGTTTCGAAAAAGTCAAACCTATTATATGATACATACCCCTAATATCAGTTATTTTTGCACTGTTACTTTAGTATGCTTTTTAGGACCCTGTATTCTGCTGTGAAGATCAGGTATAAGGCCAGTTGTTTTGGTGACGTTTTGTTTTGTTTTGTTTTGTAGCCCTGACTATAATGTGGAATTTTTTCGACAATTTATATTGGTTATGAATGCTTTAGATAACAGAGGTGAGATTATTTTATACATTTAATTCCTAAGTATTTCCCTTCCCCCGTAACAAGGCTGTTTCCACAGCCTTTTAGTGTTTAAAGTATTTCCTTATGAGTTACATCTAGAGAGCAGTAAGGTTAGGTTTAAAATTTGCCAGTTGGTTGTAATTTTAACTAGAACTGGTTTCAGGCAGGAATTTAGCTATCACATACTCTGCTGTTCTAGCAAAACGTGTGAACATAGAAGTTGTTAAAATCGCTAAAGAGGGTGACTACATATGGTATGTGGGTGTGTGCTTGTTTCAGAGTATCCCATCACTTAAGCACAGTGTGACTTCCTTCATTTACATGGAGATCTAAGAAATATCTGTGCCTGTATGTCACATCTCAAGACCAGTTAAGTCAGACTCTCTGAATGGCACCTGAGCATATTTTTTCCAAGTTTCCCATGTGATTCTAAAGTGCGATCGGGGCTGTAAAACCACTGTTTCAAGACTGAGGCAAGAGGATGTCAAAGTTAGTATAGATGCCATGGATCTTGAATTATTTTAGGTATAGGTGGGTGCCGTAAGATAACAGGCTGGATTCTATTTAGATGTACATATTTTAGACCATTTAAGCTTTCCACAATAGGGGGTAATGTTTCTTATAATCAAGTGCTGCATAGCCAGTCATTGTTCTACATGTAAAACAACATTTGTGGAGTGGTTTGTAACCATTTTGAGCTTGAAATACCAAAGAAAAAACACAAAGCATGAGGAAAGGTCAGAAAGACTTTTTTTTTTTTAAGATTTTATTTGAGAGAGAGTGTGCTCCCGAGTGAAGGGGGAGGAGCTGAGAAAGAGAGAGAGAATCTCAAGCTGACCCTGTGCTGAGCATGGAGCCCGACACAGAGCCTAATCCCGCGACCCTGAGAACCTGAGCCGAAATCAAGAGTTGGGTACTCAACTGGCTGAGCTACCCAGGCATCCCTGAATGACTTTTAACTAGACTCCTCTTTATTCCCCTTGCCTTAAACTGCCTTAGTAGTTCCAAGTTGATATTCTCCATTCTCCATTCATTTCCATGTGTTTGTTACCTGATAATTTTATTAGAATAATAGTAAGGATTCAGAACATACTGAAACAATGTTTTAGCCAAGATTATAGAGTAGGCACACAGCAACAGAAGAGAAAGGTGACACTTTAGAATCCAAAAATTATTTATAGGTGTGCTTTTCCTGGAGTAAATTTGTGATATAAATTCCTTACGTTTGGAATTTTGCTAGTGAATAGTCTCTTTAAGTGTAACCGTTTTATTACACTGGTCATAGCTATAAGAAAATTACATAACAAATTAAAAAAAATAGTTTGGGTAAATGTTATCCTAATTAAAGTAACTAATTTTTCCCCCCATAAACTCCTGCTAACTAGTATTTTTCTTCCAGCTGCCCGCAACCATGTTAATAGGATGTGTCTGGCAGCTGATGTTCCTCTTATTGAGAGTGGAACTGCTGGTTACCTTGGGCAAGTAACTACCATCAAAAAGGTAAAGTAAGTTTTTACTTCCCAAATATTTATTTGGGACCTTAAGGAGGGAAGAAGTAAACTTTGGATTTATATGATATGGGCTGGTCACCATCCAAGATGTAGGGATTTTTGTGCTCTGATAAAACTTAGATACTATAAAGGTAATACAAAGAATATAGGCAGAGATCTTTCTAGCTCTGTGCTACTTTGCTTCTGTAGCTTATGTATTAGACTGGTAAGCTTAATGACATTGCCTTTTAAAATACTTTGTAGCTATAAAACTACCTGTGATGCCATAGTTGGTGTATGATAAAACTGCCTTCTCCAAAGTTACTTTTTATCTGAAGTCTGGACTTCAAAGATCTGAAGAGTACTTTGAAACTATTTGTTGTATTTGTGAAATATTTCAGACATTTAGAGAAAACTAGAGATTAATAGAGCAAATAAATACCTGTGGACTCATAACCCAGTTTTATAAAATCCAGCATTGTGATCTTTTTCCTTTTAGTTATTTTAGGAAATTAAACATAGATACATTTGAAGAGTCATTTTGCAGGTTTTGAAACCAAAATTCGAATTACCACTTAAATTTGCTACTTTTGTCCATTATTTGGCAGTTTACCCATGTTGGAAATTGTGGCTCTGCTTCTTTTGTTTTAGCTGATAAATACTCTTGGAAGCTTATTTAGTATCCTTTTACAAAGATTTGTAAATATCAACGTGTATTAAATTTAGTTAAATCAGTGGAGCCCTTCAGGGTCTGTTTATAGGTCACAGCAGTCGTTCTCTTATCCACTGTGATTTGAGGGATGGCTGCTTGTCATATGGCTGCCCCCAAGAAGGTTTATTGAAAGGACACCAGAAATGGTATTATGGAGAAAATCCTGGGTCTGCTGTCATTTATATTAAAACAATATTTGCAGGTTTTGGTTCGTTAACCTGATCCTAAGGTACTAGTAATGTATTAATACTGAGGTTGAGAATTGCTGAAATGAGGAATGTTCATTTGATGGTTTTGAAAGATTGTCTGAGGTGCCATAGACTTCTCTCAAGGACTCCTTACATTGCAAATTAAAATGTAACCCTAGCTCAACAAAATGAAAAGTATTTTGTTTGGTAATATCTAGGATTTTTCTGTGTATCTAGGTGGTTCTTGAAATTATTAATTATTTTTAGTTTTCTTAATATTTAGGAGATTATAAGGTAAGGCTTTGAATAATATTTAAGTAACTGAGGTCCACACCTTTGAGAGATAATTGGTTAGAAAGCTGTTCGTCTTTCTAGTAGTTTTTCTTTTGTTTAGTGTGATTAAGATAAACTTCTTGTATTTGATATTCAGGTGCAGTGTGGCTTTTTGTTTTTGATTTTGTTTTTGGCTTGTTGTAAGTGTTGTTTCCTGGGCCGGAGTCAGAGGAATCCTGGCTTAGACTTAGCTGTGACTGTGATTGATTCAGTTCACTTTTGTTACAGTTCCTTGTTTGTAAAGTAAGGATTTTGGAGTCACTGATATTTTAAAATTTTCTTGACAGTATAAAACCCAGTTAGAATGTAGATGAATGAATATTTATGATGATTACTTTATGATGTTGAGAAATTACCATCATGGGATAAATACTTTTCTCGTATTCTGACTTTGCAGGGTGTAACTGAGTGTTATGAATGTCATCCCAAACCTACCCAGAGAACTTTCCCTGGCTGTACAATTCGTAACACCCCTTCTGAACCTATTCATTGCATCGTTTGGGCAAAGTATTTGTTCAAGTAAGAGTATATATATTTCTGGGTGTATTTTCAGTACTGACGATGGGAAATGGGGTCATTTTTATTTTTATATCTCAGATTGTATTTATGAGGAATATTCTTTTAAATAGGGCAAAGAGACGCTCCGTTAACTTTCTTGTTACTGCTTGTGCGGAATTCAGCCAATATTGCATGCATGTCCGTTATATACCATGGACTATTTAGGAAGCCTGATATTGGAGACAGGCATATAACTAAATGAATACAAGTCTGTGTATTTGGAATTACAAAAAACATACTTAGAAGTAATTCATTGGTTAAAAAAGAAATCATGGAAGTTAAAAATACTTTTTAATGATAATGAAAATACTGCATGTGAAACTTGGATGCATTGAATGTGGCAGTTGGAAGAAAAGTTCTAGGCTTACACACATGAAGAGAGATGAACATTAATGAGCTAAGGACCCAATTTAAATTAGAAAAAGGATAAACTCCAAGGAAATTAGTGGGAAGGATGTAATTGAGGTAAGAGGAAAAAAGTACTTCGTGAGTTCAATCATGAAAAGGAGAGAGAAATAAATGGGGAATGTAATCTCAGCACAGATTTAAATGATAGTAAAGAACAAAAGGATGACAATAAAAAGACCATGCCTGTATACAGAAATTTTTAATGATCTGGATAAAATTTTTTTTTTTTTTTTTTAGTTTAGAGAGAGAGCGCGGGGTGGGGGGGTGGAGAGAGAACCTCAGGCAGACTCCCTGCTGAGTGTGGAGCCAGATAAGGGGCTCGATTTCATGATTCGTGGAATCACAACCTGAACCAAAACCCAAGAGGGGGATCCTTAACTGACTGTGCCACTTAGGTGCTCCTGGATAAATTCATTTTGAAAAAAAACTTAAAAAAAATGGACTCAAAAAGAAATAAGAAAGCCTGAACAGTACTATACCTTAGGGGAATTTAATAAGTGGTTTGAATTCTGAATAATGCACCAAACCTATCTGAATTTACTGGTGATTTCCACTGAACTTGCAAGTACTATATCGTAATAATGTTAAGTAAATTGTCCCAGAGACATTTTTTAAAACCTGAATACTTCTCAGTTTGCATTATGGGGCTATCATGTTTTTGATAACAAAACCATTTAAGGCCATTACAGAATAAAAGGAGAATTTCAAGACTTTTTTTTTTTTTTTAATTTATTTATTTGAGAGAGAGTGTGGGGAGGGGCAGAGGGAGAGTGGGAGAGAAGCAGATTCCCCATGGTGCACAGAGTCGGACGGGCTCAGTCTCATGACTCTGAGATTACAACCCTGAGCCGAAATCAAGAGTTGGACATTTAACTGACATAAATATATATCTATGCTAATCTGTATATATACACAAATTTATAAACATTTCTGTATATTAAGGTAAATATGAATTCATACTGGTGTCTCCAGCTCTAATCCATTACCACCGAGGCACCCCTCATGACAAATATTCTTGTTCTTGTTCTTGTTTTTTTTTTTAAATTTTATTTATCTGTCAGGGAGAGAGAGAGCACAAGCAGGGATAGTGGCAGGGAGAGGGAGAAGAGCAAGGAGCCGGATGTGGGACTTGATCCCAGGACCCTGGGATCACGACCCAAGCTGAAGGCAGACGCCTAACCGACTACACCACCCAGCCATCCCAAAAATTCTTAATAAAATAAGAACATTTTATCAACCTGGTAAAAGATACCTTTTATAAACTTATAGCAAACATTGGTTTTCTTTATTTTTTGATTAAGGTATAATGTGTATGCACTCAGAAAAGTACACATATGATGGTATAACAATGAAATTTCATAAAAAATATATTTTGTAAGCATTATTTGGCAAACATTTTTTTCTTTTTAACAGATTTTACTTGTTAGAACAGTTTCAAATTTACAGAAATAATGAGAAGATAATACAGAGTTCCCTTTTAACATTGTTAGTATGATACATATGCAGCGATTAATGAACCACTATTGATACCATATTTAACTGAAGTCCATAGTTTATTCAGAAAGCCCTTTGTTTTTACCCAGTGTCCCTTTTCTGTTCCATGATACCACATTACCATTAGTTGTCTGTCATGTCTCTTTAGGCCTCCTTTGGCTGTGATAGTTTCTCAGACTTTACTCCTTTTTGATGACCTGATAATTTTGAGAGTGCTGGTCAGGTAGGATGGCCCACTATGGGAAATTTTTTTTGATGTTAACACTGTTATTATGAGCTATTGGGAGGGAAATCACAGAGGTAGATAAATTGCCATTTTCATCACATCGTATGAAGAGTAAATATGTTACTGACATGATTTATAACTGTTAATGTTGGCCTTGATCACTTAACTAAGGTAGTGTTTGTCAGGTTTCTCCATTGTAAAGTTACTCTCCCCATCCCCCCTTCTCTATTGTACCGTACACTTTGGAGGGAAGTCACTGTGTGCAGCCCACACCTAAGGAATGGGAGCTGTGTTCTGTTTCCTTGAGGGCAGAGGTATCTACATAAATTAGAGTTCTTCTGCCTAGAAGGTTTGTCTTTTCTCACCCATCTATTGATTTCTTCATCATTTATATCAGTCTGCATTCATATTGAATATATTTTATACTTCGGCTTAAGTCCAGTAGTATATTTTGTTGCTCAGATTGTTCTAGCTTTGGCCACTGGGAGCTCTTTCTGTTAGCTCTGTGCTCTTAGACATACTGCCATCGATGTGAGTGGGGGTGTTTGGGGAGCAGTTCCTTGCTTTCTGGTACTAGATGTTCCAGGCTCATTATGTTATTTCCTGCCGTAGAATCAGACCTTTCTCCAAGGCGCCCTGGTTCCTTTTTTTGAAGAATGGCATTAGAAACCAAGATCTGAATGCTTGGCATGCTATTAGTTGTTGTATCTTTTAGGCTCTTTTAGCCAACGGAGCAAATATATATCTATGCTAATCTGTATATATACACAAATTTATAAACATTTCTGTATATTAAGGTAAATATGAATTCATACTGGTGTCTCCAGCTCTAATCCATTACTACAGGGATCATTCTAGCTTCCTCCCCTTGATTATCTGTACAGTCTCACTCCAGCAGTCAGAAATTTCCACTATTTGCCAACCATATACTTAATACAAGCATTATTTTTTAAATTTTTAAAAAAGTTTTATTTATTTGAGAGTGTGCACACAAGTGGGGGTGAGGGGCAGAGGGAGAAGCAGACCTCTGCTGAGCCTGACACAGGGCTCGATCCCAGGACCCCGGGATCACGACCCGAGCTGAAGGCAGACACCCAACCAACTGAGCCACCCAGGCGCACCAATACAAGCATTATTTTTAATGATAAAAGTTACAAATCATCCCCTTTGAAATCAGAGTTGACATGAGGATGCCCATTATTGTTGCTTCTACTTGGTGTTGTAATGAAGTTCCTAGCCCATACAATAAGACAAAAAGGAAATACAGGAGAAGAGTTGAGAAAAAAAGAAACAAAACTGTTGTTTGTATACAATATAGTTACCTGCATAAAAAACTCCAAAGAATCTATAGACAAATTATTAGAAATAATGACAGTTTAGCAGCATGGCCAACTAAAAGATTACATTTCTATATGCAGCATCACGCAGTTAAAAAATATAAAAATGGATAACTCACTATAAAATTGTATAATTAAATATTAAAGATACCTAAAAATAAAGCATCTAAAAGCATGAAGTACTACTTTCAGGTACTTATAAATCTTGATTTATAAGACCCAATATGGAAAATTATAGTAACCATTGGAACATAAAAAGAAGGATAAAATAAGAGGAAAGAATGTATTTGTGGATTGGAAGTCAATATTGTGTGTGTGTCACTTGTCTTCAAGTTGATCTATAGATTCAAATGCAGTTCCAATCAAAATCTCATCAGGGTTTGTACTGGAACTTGTTCAGCTATTATAAAATTTATGGAATAAGGCTTAAACATTCCTGGAAAGGAGTAGCTTGAGGTAACTTGTTCTAATAGATGTCAAGGTTTAATATAAGCTAAAAGTAACTTACAGTGTGTTGCTGGTACAGAGATAGAAACACAGACCATTGGGACAATGCAGAGCTCATGACCAAGGTTGCATACGAGATCCCAGATGAAAGAAGGGATTAAATAAAAGGTAGGACAATTCATTATCAATGTGGAAAAAACTTACATTCTCTACTTTAAAGAATATATAAAAATTAAGTCCAGATGGAGTAAGTATTTAGATGTTAACAGAAAAAAACTTTCTAGGGGCGCCTAGGTGGCTCAGTTGGTTAGGCGTCTGCCTTCAGCTCAGGTCATGATCCCAGGTTTCTGGGATCGAGTCCTGCGTCAGGCTCTCTGCTCGGGTGGGAAGCCTGCTTCTCCCTCTCCCACTCCCCCTGCTTGTGTTCCCTCTCCCGCTGTCTCTCTCTCTGTCAAATAAATAATAAAAAAAAAAAATCTTTCTAATATAGGGGAAAATCTTTAGGGAACAATGTCTCGACACAAAGTGCTAACCGTAAAGGAAAGGATTGATTCATTGAAATTAATTAAATATCTCTTGTCAAAAGACATGAGAAAATATTTGCAACATAAAGTCAACTAAAAATATCATCTTAGAATATATTCCTGTAATCAAGAAATAGGCAACCTGACAAAATAATACGAACAGGCATTTTTTCACTTAAAGAGAAACTCACATAGGCAGTAAGCAAATGAAGATATGTTTAACTTCATGACTAACATGGAAAATTAATAAAATCACAAGATACTATTTTATACTCAGTAGTTTGGTAAAATGTTAAGTCTGGAGAGGAAGTGAATCGATAGGAATTCTTACATGCCATTGGGGTGAAAATTGATACAGTGACTTTGGGAAACAAGTGGACATTTTCTTATAGAGTATATCAGGAGTTTTGAGAAACTTTGAGATGATAGCTTTTCCTTTTTTTTTTTAACTGCAAAGGATTCCTTTGAAAAGATAGCTTTCTTGTAAGTCAAGTACTTGAGGAAAGGTGGAACATTATGTTCCTGTGTTATTAAATAGTTTTTAGGATAACTGGATTAACAGAGGAGAATTCCTGCTTAATATATTGTTTCTGAAGGCCTTTTAGTAGTAAAGAGATACAGTACCATGAAAAAAACATCTTACTCACTGCTTATTCTTACACCTAGATCAGTGCCCAGCATGTAGCAGATGTGTAATAATGTTTTTCTAATAGCTAGCTGCAGGTGTATTTCACAAGTATCATTCTGGCATTAGAATGATATCCAAGTAAAATGTAAAAGCTGCTCACCTGTGTCTTGATCAAAGATTTTAACATAGGAATTTGCAGAACCTAGATGATAGGAATGAATATAGGTTTACTAAAATTTAGCCTGCCAATTATTTATTCCTCATTCCTCCTATAGATTTGGAATATTCTAAGTTAGTTGTTTTGAGGGGAAGTAGGAAAAGTAAATATTTGTTCACAATATTTTGTTGAACATAAATATTTATTACTCTTATTATAGCCAGTTGTTTGGGGAAGAAGATGCTGATCAAGAAGTATCCCCTGACAGAGCTGACCCTGAAGCTTCCTGTGAGTAGATTGGGATATGTTCTCTTATATAATGAGGACTGCCTTTATTTTGCTATCTTAATATTGATAGCAAAGAGGAGAAAAAAATAATTGCTGTTTTGTGTTAGACAGTATATTATGTGTTTAAGATGGATTATTTCATCTTTAAAACAATGTTTTAAAAAAAGAGTAGTCCCATTTACTGGTGAAGACAAGATGCAGAAATGTCACAAATGTAGTAAATAGAGCAGAGAGTTGTTTCCAGATCTGATTACAGGTCCATATTTTGAACTGTTCTACATGTGGCCTTAAGAAACTGAGGTAGGAAAAGATGCTAATGAGCATATTATTTTTCTTTCTCTTTGAGGTCCGAATGTGTCATGTGCAGATGACTTCCACAAATGACTCTTTTTTTCCCCCAAAGGTAGATGAGAGCTTAGTTCTACATTTACTATAGCTGAGAATAAAATGGTGTTCATTTTATAGGGGAACCAATGGAAGCTGAAGCCAGAGCCAGAGCATCTAACGAAGATGGTGACATTAAACGTATTTCCACTAAGGAATGGGCTAAATCAACTGGATATGATCCGGTTAAACTTTTTACCAAGGTTAGATTTACTTTCTTCATAATTATGGATAGATTTATTATTCTGTTTGTTTTAAAATAGTACATGAAATATATGCTTTTTATGCTTAATGTTGTCTTAATAAGTTGATTGATATCATCAGGATAAGCAGGTTTTGGAATTTTAAAGATTATTTATTTGAGAGAGAGTGAGAGAGCGAGCATGAGCAGGGGGAGGGGGAGAAGCAGACTCCCCTGCTGAATAGGGGAGCCTGATGCGGGGCTTGATCCCAGGACTCTGGGATCATGACCTCAACCGAAGGCATTTGCTTAACCAACAGCCGTGCAGGCACCCCTAGGTTTTGTAATTTTAGCGCTAATGATAAATCAATATAGCATCTTCATAGAAATTAAAATAGAGAGGCTCACTTATACACTCTTGGTTGGCTTTCCTTCCCTCACTTACACTGAACTTCTTGATTTTCCTTTTAACTGATCTTTGGTTCCTGCTGTTTTTCATCTTCTCTTATATCCCTTTCCTGCTTAAATCTCTTGGGAATCTGACATGTACTTAATTACTCTTGAATCCCTAATCCTCTCGTTCTTGGTCAGATCCCTCTTCATTAGTATATATTATTTGCCTGCTGAATATTTCTAGAGAAATCCACAAGATTGTTTTAATTGGCTCTATCTAATTTATAGGCCAGCTAGGTATTCATGTCTATGTTTAAAAGTCTTTTTACTTCTTTTGCCTTCACTCCCTAGCAGGTTTATCATAATAGATACTTGAAGATTTCTCAGCTTTTCTTGAACTGCCTAATACACTCCTACCAGATGAGCAGATGACCTTAAGGATTTATTAACAGGTTTGAAGCCATTGGACAGATGTCAAGAGAAGGTCGCACTTTGTGCGTACTTTTCCCCCCCTGCTATTTGAGAGAAATCTCTAAGTAAAGGTTAATTCTTCTACTTTTCCTTTCCCCTTGTACCGTTGTCTTTTTTTTTTTTTTTTTAAGTAAGCTCCATGCTGAATGGGGGCTTGAACTCAAAACTGAGACTGAGAATCACATGCTCTATCTACTGACTGAACCAGCCAGGTGCCCCCTGTACCTTTTTTTTTTTTTTTAAAGATTTTTATTTATTTATTTGAGACAGAGAGAATGAGAGACAGAGAGCATGAGAGGGAGGAGGGTCAGAGGGAGAAGCAGACTCCCTGCTGAGCAGGGAGCCCGATGTGGGACTCGATCCCGGGACTCCAGGATCATGACCTGAGCCGAAGGCAGTCGCTTAACCAACTGAGCCACCCAGGCGCCCCCCCCCCCCTGTACCTTTTAAGATTTTTTCTTTATCACTGTATTTTGCTAGTTTAATTACAGTATGTTTTGGTGTGGGTCTGCTTTTGTTGATTTTGATGGGAGTTCTCTGTGTCCCCTGGATCTCTGAATATCTGTTTCCTTCCCCAGATAAGGGAAGTTTTCAACTATTACTTTAAATAAATTTTTTGCCCCCCTTTCTCTCCTTCTTCTGGGACTCCTATAATAGGGAATGTTAGTTATGTCTGGTGGAGTCACTGAGTTCCCTAAGTCTATCCTCATTTTGCATAATGCCTTTTTTCTCTTGTTCAGCTTGATTACTTTCCATCACTCTCTTCTAGGTCACTAATTCATTCCTTTGCTTCTTCCATCCTGCTGTTCATTCCATCAAGTGTTTTCATTTTTTTGTGGTTGTTCCTGAAGATTTTCTCTGATCCTTTTTTGTCTTTCTTTCATGGCTTGCTGATTTTCTTTAGTAACACATTTGGATTTCTTTCTCATTATTCTTTGCATATTTATTAGTGGTTTTGCCATTAGATTTGTATATAATCTCTTCTGCATATAGCAGTCTCTGTTAAATTGATGGTGGTTTTAAGTTTGAACCCATTTTTTTTTTTTTTTTAATTATTTAATTGACAGAGAGAGAGATACAGTGTGAGAGGGAACACAAGCAGGGGGAGTGGGAGAGGGAGAAAGCAGGCTTCCGGCCGAGCAGGGAGCCCCATGTGTTGCTCGATCCCAGGACCCTGGGATCATGACCTGAGCTGAAGGCAGTCGCTTAACCAACTGAGCTACCCAGGCGCCTCTGAACCCATTCTTTATGCCTTTTCTCCACACCTTTTAGATATATGTTGTTATACTTTATATCCTTTTATTTTGTGAGTTCCTTGGCTGACTTTTTACAGAAATATTCATTCTTACTGCTTTTGTGTTTCCTTTCATACTGCCACTTCTGGTGTCCTTTCCACTCAAGGAGTCCCCTTTAATATTTCTTGCAGGGCTGGTTTAATGGTCATGAACTTTTTTTTTTGTTTGGGAAAGTCTTTATCTCCTATTCCGAATAATAGCTTTGCTGGATAAAGTATTCTTGGCCACAGGTTTTTCCCATTCAGCACTTTGAATATATCATGTCACTCCCTTCTGGCTTGAAAAGTTTCTGCTGAAAAATCTGCTAGCCATAAGGGGTTTGTTTCCCTTGTAAGTTACTGTCTTCTTTTGTCTTGCTGCTTTTAAATTTTTTTCTTTATCACCGTATTTTGCCAATTTAATTTTATACCTTAGTTTTCAAACAGTGTTTTTTCTCTGCCCTGCATCTTGATCTTTCCTGGCTTCTGTCTGCTTTCCAAATGCATAGGTCCTACGCAAATGGCCTACTACTCCCTCCAGTTTATGTTTCCTCTCTTTTTCCTCAGTGCAAGAGATATCATAGGTTGATTCTTAAACCTGTTGCATTTATTTCCTTGTTATAGACTTTTCTTTAGAAAATCAATTTTGGTTATGCTTAAAATGTACTTAATTCCGTTATGGATAGTGACAGTATTTTCCAGACTTGTGTCCGTATACCTATTCCCATTCCAGTTTGAGCAGTGTTGAATGCCAACATAATCTCAGGTACATCTCCAGTCTGTTCAGTAGGTAACTAAACATCTGCTGTGTGCTGGTCACCACTCTGATAGGAGATACAGCAGTGAGTAAGATGGAAAATAGGGTCCCAGCTCTTTGTAGGTAACTCATAGTTGAGAGGGAAAGTCAGACATTGAACAAGTAATGTCAAAATCAGAGTGTTACGACATTAAGATCAGATGCATTAGAACCCTTTAAGACTAAGTTGACTTAACATTGTTATTAGACAGTGTTATTAGACCCAATATGAGGTTTCAAAAGAGGCTTTCCAGAGGAAGTGACATTTCAACCCAAGACTTTAAAGAATTGGGTTGGGGATATGAATGCTACATGTACACAGAAGGTCTCAGGTCGGAAAACTGAAATAATTCTCATTAAAGGGGAGACTGGGAAGAGGAATCGAAACATAAGCTGAGGCTACATCAGGCAAGACTTCCTAGATCATGACAAGGATGCTATACCAAGGCAATGGGAATCCATTAAAAGGTGGTCTATAGGATCAGATATAGAGGGTATGCTGTGCACCATTCTAGGACCTGATATTCCTATTGTAATCAATATGGGACAGTACCTTTTGAAGTTGTACAGTGCTAGAATAATCTGAAGTACAACCTATCTGCATTCCCAGTGGAGGGTGGAGAAAAAGAAGATTTAATAAGACTTAGGATGTTTAGGGCACCTGGGTAGCTCAGTTGATTAAGTGTCCAGCTTTTTTTTTTTTTTTTTTTTTAAGATTTTATTTATTTGATAGAATAAGCAGGGGTAGCTGCAGGCTGAGGGAGAGGGAGAAGCAGGCTCCTGCTGAGCAAGGAGCCCAACGCAGGGCTCGATCCCAGGATCCCGAAGGCAGCTTCTTAACCAGCTGAGCCACCCAGGCGCCTCAAGTGTCCAACCCTTGATTTTGGCTCAGGTCATGATCTCAGGGTTGTAAGATTGAGCCCCACGTTGGGCTCCATGCTCAGCGGGGAGTCTGCTTAAGATCCGATCCCCACTCCCCCACCCCTGCTCATGCTATCTCTCTCTGAAATAAGTAAATAAAATCTTTTTGTAAAAAAATAAAAGACTAGGTTGTTCAAAGTGAGGAACAGTGAAGAATCAGGAATGATACTTGGTTTCCTGCTGGGCAGCAGAATGAACAAGGTGCCATTCTCTGAGGTAGGTAAGGTGGGAAGCAGGTGTGTTGTGTAGGGCTTAGAGGATGAGATAAGGTGATAGAATCAATTTGAGATTCCTCTGGAATATTAGAGTAAGGGCAGGTAATTCTAAAGGCAAGCAGAGAGGTTTAGACTGGGATTTGTAGGCCTAAGAGAAAAGAGCATGAAGATGGTTTAGTACCATCTTAGAACTCTGAGGGATTCCCAGTATTTAATAATTGGTTAAAGGGTGTGGAGCTTGTGCATGGAAAACCATGCTAATTTCCCATTGCCTGGGAGGCTTTTCAGCCAAGTGCTTAAGGTCTTCTATAAAATGTGTCTAACCAGTTTTGTTACCCAAGTCATACTGAACTTATTTCCTTGCCTATGCACCCATTTCAGATGTTACCATCTCCTTGAACTCTCCTTATTCCTCAGAACAAAATTCCTGCTAGTACTCGAAGCTGTGTGATTCTCACACTAAATTTGTATTCTAACTATTTGTATATTTGGCTGGTTTTCCAAAGATTTAAGAATGCTTCATAAATACTGATTGAATTGAATATATTTTGATAGAAATAGTTCTGAATTTTTGGGGTGCCTGGGTGGCTCAGTTGGTTAAGAAGCCAACTCTTGATTTCGGCTCAAGTCATGATCTCGGGGTCACGGGATTGAGCCCTGCGTTGGGCACTGGGCTCATGGGTGAATCTGCTTGAGATTCTCTCTCTCCCTCTGCCCTCTTCCCCCATGCTCACTCTCACTCTCTTTCTCTCTAAAATAAATAGGGGCGCCTGGGTGGCTCAGTCATTAAAGCATCTGCCTTCGGCTCAGGTCATGGTCCCGGGGTCCTGGGATCGGGCCCCGCATCGGGCTCCCTGCTTCTCCCTCTCCCACTCCCCCTGCTTGTGTTCTCTCTAGCTGTGTCTCTATCTGTCAAGTAAATAGATAAAATCTTAAAAAAAAAATTTTTTTTAATTAATTAAATAAAAATCTTTTTTAAAAAGAAATGGTTCTGAATTTTTTTATTAAACCAATTTTAAGTTCATAGCTGATACATAAAATAAATGTATTGACTAAATCAACTGACAATAGAAAATACAGCTGAGGAAAAAATAAATACAATAAAATCATTTGAAATTCTACCACAGGATAGTGCCATTCATGTGATATTCTCTCAGGCTATATATAATACTGCTTACAACATGATTTTATTTTGTTTTGTTTTTGAGAGAAAAGCGTGTATGTGAGTGGGAGGAGAAGGAGAGAGAGAATCTTAAGCAGGCTCCATGTCCAGCACAGAGTTTGACTTAGGGCTCGATCTCATGACCCTAAGATCATAACCTGAGCCGAAATCATGAGTTGGACATGACTGAGCCACATGGGCACCCCATAACATTTTTGAAAAAGAAATTGTTTTGGTTTTGGGCTTTTGGGGGGCCAGACCACATTTCAAAGATGTTACAGGTGATTAAATTCTGGTTTTGAGCACTGTACTTTTAAAATGTATGCTTGAGGTGCCTGGGTGGCTCAGTCAGTTAAACATCTGCTTTTGGCTCAGGTCATGATCCCAGGATCCTGGGATCAAGTCCTGCATCGGGCTCCCTGCTTCTTGGGGAGCCTGCTTCTGCCTCTGCCTCTCTCTCTCTCTCATGAATAAATAAATAAAATATTTAAAAAAAAAAAAATCTGCCTTCAGCTCAGGTCATGATCCCAGGCTCCTAGAATCGAGCCCTGTGTCAGGCTCCCTGCTCTGGGGAGTCTGCTTCTCCCTCTGCCCCTCCTCCCTGCTCATGCTCTCTATCTCATCTTCTCTGTGTCTCAGATAGATAAATAAAATCTTTAAAAAATAAAATGTTTCTGCTTTATTGCTATTATACCCATGAACTTGGAGATACTGCTAACTGGTATCTCTAGGCTCAGTGATTTAATTAAATTCTTAGGGAACTGGTGTATGTTTATTTAACTTCTTGATTGGCATGATTTTGCTTCAGATCGATCTTTGGAACTTTAGGTATGCTTGGGGGAGGTGACTTAGCGGGGCAGGGGCCGTGAGCACTATTCACAGTTCCTTTACTCTTTTTCTCAGCATTTCTGCTTTCACTGTTTCAAATGCAGACGTTCTGTATAAATATTTTTATAAAAGGTTTACGTTTTGTGGGTTTTTCTTTTGGAAATTGTGCATCTGCTGGTATAGGACATATCTTTAAATCAGAAGATTTTATGGTGTAATATTTATAGTAAATCAATGAAATTTTGTTATATTTTATCAGCATAGGGACTATAGGATTTGTGGGATTTTATCTTTGTTTTTTAATTTTTTTTTAAGCTTTTTAAAGATGATATCCGGTATCTGTTGACAATGGACAAACTGTGGCGGAAAAGGAAACCTCCGGTTCCATTGGACTGGGCTGAAGTACAAAGTCAAGGTAAAGAATACATTTTATGGGGTGCCCGGGTGGCTTTGTTAGAAGAGCATGTGGCTCTTGACCCTCAGGGTCGTGAGTTCAAGCCCAACATTAGGTGTAGGTATTACTTAAATAAATAAACTTAAATACATTTTAGTCTTTGGAATACCTAAATTGGAAATTCTCTCACTTAAAATCTTTAAATAACCCTAAATTACATGGTAAGAAATTCAGTTTAGAAACATATGAAGAAGGAAGATGGCTGGAAATCTTGTCACCTAGAGAAATAGCCACTATTAACATTTAGGGAATGAATGTCTTGGTAGTCAACTCTATCTGTGCACAGAAATAAAGGGCAGTTGTTTATGTGCTTTACATAAATGGAATCATACACATTTATATATTGTTACTTGCTCTTTCCAGTCAGTATTATTTAACTAGTCCCTTATTGGTTAACCTTTGTTTCATATTTTCCCTCAGATAGTGTTGTGATAAGAATACATGCACATATTTGTACCTTTGTGTGATTATCTCTTTAGGATTTAATTTAGGGACATACTTATAATTTTAAATGTGAGAAAAACTATTGTAGTAGTGACTTCTTCCTTATCCTACCGCCCCTTCCACACATTATGTCTATGCCTTAGATAAGTTACATTACGATTAATGTATGCACTGCAGTGATTAGCACATTGAAACTTAAAGGGTCCCAGGAGATTTGGGTGTCAGTTGGGAGCAGTTCTCTACAGTAATGACTATTTGTCTTTACGGACTAAATTTTTTTTTTTAAAGATTTTATTTATTTATTTGACAGAGAGACACAGCGAGAGAGGGAACACAAGCAGGGGGAGTGGGAGAGGGAGAAGCAGGCTTCCCGCGGAGCAGGGAGCCCGATGCAGGGCTCGATACCAGGACCTTGGGATCATGACCTGAGCCGAAGGCAGACGCTTAACGACTGAGCCACCCAGGCGCCCCCCGGACTAAATTTTTTTTTAAATTTTATTTTATTTTATTATGTTAATCACCATACATTACATCATTCGTTTTTGCTATAGTGTTCCATGATTCATTGTTTGCATATAACACCCAGTGCTCCATTCAGTACGTGCCCTCTTTAATACCCATCACCAGGCTAACCCATTCCCCCACCCCCTCCCGTCTAGAACCCTCAGTTTGTTTCTCAGAGTCCATAGTCTCTCATGGTTTGTCTCCCTCTCTGACTTCCCCCTCTTCATTTTTCCCTTCCTACTATATTCTCTCTCTCTCTTTTTTTTGTTAACGTATATTATTTGTTTCAGAGGTACAGGTCTGTGATTCTTTAGTCTTACACAATTCACAGCGCTCCCCATAGCATATACCCTCCCCAGTGTTTATCACCCAGCCACCCCATCCCTCCCACCCCACCGCCCTCCAGCAACCCTCAGTTTGTTTCCTGTGATTAAGAATTCCTCATATCAGTGAGATCATATGATACATATCTTTCTCTGTTTGACTTATTTCGCTCAACATAATACCCTCCAGTTCCATCCACGTCATTGCAAATGGCAAGATCTCATTCCTTTTGATGGCTGCATAATATTCCATTGTATATATATACCACCTCTTTCTTTATCCATTCATCTGTCGATGGACATCTTGGCTCTTTCCACAGTTTGGCTATTGTGGACATTGCTGCTATAAACATCGGGGTGCACGTACCCTTTCAGATCCCTACTTTTGTATCTTTGGGGTAAATGCCCAGTAGTGCAATTGCTGGATCATATGGTAGCTCTATTTTCAACTTTTTGAGGAACCTCCATCCTGTTTCCCAGAGTGGCTTATCTTTTTTTTTAAACATCTAATGTATTACTTGTTTCAGAGGTACAGGTCTGTGATTCAACAGTCTAACACAACTCCCAATGCTCACCATAGCACATAACCTCCCCAGTGTCTATCACCCAGCAACCCAAATGCTCTCACCCCTCACCACTCCAGCAACCCTCAGTTTGTTTCCTGAGATTAAGGATTCCTCATATCAGTGAGATCATATGATACATGTCTTTCTTTGATTAACTTATTTTGCTTAGCATAATACCCTCTAGTTCCATCCACGTCGTTGAAAGATTTTGGTTTGTTGTTGTTGTTGTTGTTGCTGGCTGCATAATATTCCATTGTGTATGTGTATGTACATTTTCTTTATCCATTCATCTGTTGATGGACATCTTGGCTCTTTCCATAGTTTGGCTATTGTGGACATTGCTGCTATAAACATTGGGGTGCACGTACCCCTTCGGATCACTACATTTGTATCTTTGGGGTGAATACCCAGTAGTGCAATTGCTGGGTTTTACAGACTAAATTTAAGTATGCTTCTGATAGGGCACCTGGGTGGCTCAGTCGTTAAGCGTCTGCCTTCAGCTTAGGTCGTGATCCTAGGGTCCTGGTATCAAGCCCCACGTCGGGCTCCCTGCTCAGTGGGGAGCCTGCTTCTCCCTCTCCCACTCCCCCCTGCTTGTGTTCCCTCTCTCGCTGTGTCTCTCTCTGTCAAATAAATAAAATCTTCAAAAAAAAAAATATGCTTCTGATATCTTCCACTTACTGAGTGCTGTGTGCTGGGCATAATGTTTATCTTATCGACATTGTATCTTTGAATTCTCTAGTGATTTTATGAGGTTCCTATTAGCCATTTTTTTGCACAAATATTTGTAGTATCCTAATAATTATCTTAATGGAATTTGTTTCATTTTGATTTTCTCTCTTTTTTTTTTTTTTTTTTTTACTGAATTACTGAATATTTATTGAGTACCTGCTGTATACCAGGCAAAAGGAACAGAAACAAACTGTCCAGAGTTACTTTTAACTGCTTCAGCAATGCCTGAGTCCTCATCATAAAAAAAACCCATTCTGCTGATTTAGTATCCATTCACTTTGATTAATCTTCATGTAGTTTTCTCAAGTGTACTTCCAAATCTTGCATAATGCTGTAGACCATTAAATATTCCAAATACCGTCTGAAGGACTAGAGGAATCATCATAGCTTTTATCTCTGTTTGACAAAGCAGCAGCCAGTAAAGTAAAACCCTTCCTTTTGGTGGCAGTGGAACAGTATGATACTTGACTGCCAGGCGTCCATTTTTAGAAAAAGCCAAACCACAGGAATTAAAACGCCACATACTATGCCAATCAATGAACTTCTCAGAACACAATTTTCCTGGCTTATACTGCTTTTCTTTTCTAAGATATTCAAATTTTTTTTCTATGATTTCGATGACCATTGGTTCTTCTGAATTCTGCATCTCCTAGAGAAAGACTGGGCTGACCATGTGTGTATGTTGCCATTCTGATATCCTTGGGCACTTCCCCAGCTCTCACCGGCACCACACCTGCATCCTTCAAGTCAGCCCCAGCCTCACGCCCGAGCGCCGCCATTTTGGCGGATCCTCATTTTGATTTTCTTACTGGTCAAGCATTGAATTTTTAAATAAAATAGAGGGATGATGTTTAATAGTGAAATTTCTAATATTTTTTCCCTTAGGAGAAGAAACCAATGCATCAGATCAACAAAATGAACCGCAGTTAGGTCTGAAAGACCAGCAAGTTCTAGATGTAAAGAGCTATGCATGTCTTTTTTCAAAGAGCATTGAGACTTTGAGAGTTCATTTAGCAGAAAAAGGGGATGGAGCTGAGCTCATATGGGACAAGGTTTGTTTTGAAAATATGTGGCAATTCTATATCACATGCATATTTTTGTTCTTGAACTGTAACCAGAAACTAGTAATTTTTGGATATTATTTATTCTACCAGAATTTGAGGACATAATGTTGAGTTTGCTTGGATGTCTTCATTTCTAATTACTACATTGAACTATGAATTTTCTCTACGTGAATTCAAGTAATACAGAACTTGATTTCAGATTCTGGTTATGGATTTGTGGTTTATAATTATGTTTTGAGAACATAATTGGACTGGAGAAATAATGTGAATTTATTGAAGTAAAATGTTTCACTGACTTAAAAACTTTCTTGTGTAATACAGATTTGTTAATAGAAGTCATAAAATCCTTTTGGAGACAACAGCTCATGAGCCTAAATAACCTTGGAAGTAATAAAATTGCCTTTCTATTGAAATAGTGAAAGGTCTGAGACCTCTAAATACAAAAATTAAATGTAATTATTCTTACCAAGTTAAAATAATATTTAATAGTATTTTGTGGTTAGATGTCATATTTTGAAATTTAATGAGTTAATCTGATTTTTAATTGTAATCAGTGTTTTCTACATCTACAAGTGATTTAGCTGTGTTAAAGTTTATATGTTTCAGTGATGGTAGAGATTTGCTGTGAGTTGTAAGGGGAAAGGTTTGGTCAGTTTTACTAAGCTGAGATGATAATTTTGTGCAAATTTTGGAACTGTGGTTGAATTAGACATCCAAAATAGAGTTAGTAAGTTCATTTTTTGGGGATTCTTGTAAACCTTATTCTTTTGGGTTTATGTATAAATATTAACCTATTTAATAAATACATATTTTCATTGTTGGTGTTCTAATAGTGACTTGGGACGTTTTCATCCATACACAGGGGCTAGATAATGAAACTGAAACTGGGAGTTGTTACCCTCTGATTAAAATCTACACCTAATGGATATGGTGAACCAGTTGTCTAGGGAAGTACCTAATGTACACTGTTGGGTACTATTAAATATTCATACTTGATCCTCATCACAACCTCATAAAATATTTATATAATTTTCCCTACTTAAGGAATTACAGATTTAAGGAATTTCATTTGCCTGAGGTTAACCAGCCAGCCAATAAATAGAGAACGCACATCCTGTCAGTGCTTTCTCTTCTGTACTTTGGTGCTTCTGAATTATAGGCTGGGATAGTATGTTCTCAGTGAAGCAGAAAATCTTGCTGAAATCTAAAGTGACCAAGATACAATCTCAGGAAGAATATAAATTGTCAAGGGAAAACTTTTGTTATATTGCCATATGTGAAAAGAAACCGCAAATGCAGGAGACTGGTGTATATGAAGGGAATTTGGAGAAGGAAAACCAAAAGGTGTAGTCCAGACGTTTGAGTCTTTAATGAAGCCCTTTTCTCTAAAAAGCCCTTATCTCTTTGCTGTTACCAAACAACCTTTCATTACAGACTGCCATCAGGCTAGGAGAGGGTTGCCACCGTCAGTGAATGGAATTGGTGTTGCGGTCTATACACTTAGTGTCTGCTGTATTTCTGTAAGCAGGACTGAGGTCCTAGAAGCCTGGTGGGTCTTAGCGTTCTTGTCAGGCTACATTCCTGGATCCAAGAATCTGATAATGAGACCCTAGCTTCTTCCTCAAGGCCATCTCTTGTTCTAGTTGACTGTCTACAGTGTTACAAGACGTGTGAAAGTACTGTTTTGAAGGTGATACCAACCAAATCAGTAAGTTTATGGGAAGACTTAATAAATTGTTTAAAATATTGGCAGGATGACCCATCTGCAATGGATTTTGTCACCTCTGCTGCGAACCTCAGGATGCATATTTTCAGTATGAATATGAAGAGCAGATTTGATATAAAATGTAAGTTATGTTATACTTTAGTTGTATTACCTAAAATTCTGTTACTCTTTTTTCACAGTTAACCATATTCATCTTTGTTTTTCAGCAATGGCAGGGAACATTATTCCTGCTATCGCTACTACTAATGCAGTGATTGCTGGGTTAATAGTATTGGAAGGATTGAAGATTTTATCAGGAAAAATAGACCAGTGTAGAACAGTGAGTATTTCTATTTGCATTCTTTATGTAACCTCTCTCTCTTTTTTTTTTTTAAGTAAGCTCTGTGCTCAATGTGGGGCTTGAACTCTCAACCCTGAGGTCAAGAGTCACATGCTCTGCCATCTGAGCCAGCTAAGCGCCCCCGTCCAATCTCTTTTTAATAGTATAGTCATGTACTTTAGGGGGAAAAAAAAGTAACTTATAAAAAGCACATTAAACAGATCATTTAAAAAATTAAAACAATAAAATTGATTAAAGCAGTGGAAAAACCATGTTCCACTTACCTTGTGAGTTTATGTGTAAGTAAGCTTCCTGGAAATTATAGCAAAAAGGAAAACACTTCCTTCTCTTATTTCTGTCTGAAATGGAAGCAGAAGCTAGTTTGCTTCAATAGTTGCAGTTTTACTGAATTCTTAGAGGGACTAATTGTGTGGTTCCTTTTTTTTTTTTTTTTTTTTTAAGATTTTATTTATTTATTTGACAGAGAGAGACACAGCGAGAGAGGGAACACAAGCAGGGGGAGTGGGAGAGGGAGAAGCAGACTCTCCACTGAGCAGGGAGCCCGATGTGGGGCTCGATCCCAGGACTCTGAGATCATGACCTGAACCGAAAGCAGATGCTTAACGACTGAGACACCCAGGCGCCCCTGTGTGGTTCCTTCTATTACGTTTTTTTCAATTCTAAAAGTTCCCTGTAGTTTTATTAAATTTTGCTTTGTCATTTTATAGTCCTCTCCTTTGTTCATGCTTTTTAGTCTCCTTTTTTGTTTTAAACCTAGTTTATGTTCTTTGATAATGTCAGTGTCTGAACTCTTTATGGGTGAGTCTACTATCATTTCTGTTAGATTTCACAGTATTTGGTTGGCTTATGATTTTTTTTTTTTTTTGAATTAGTGTTTGTTAAAATTGTGTCTGATCATTTTTTTTTTTTTTTTAAGATGTTATTTATGGGGCACTTGAGTGGCTCAGTCGGTTAAACAGCTGCCTTCAGCTCAGGTCATGATCCCAGGGTCCTGGGATTGAGCCCCACATCGGGCTCCCTGCTCAGCGGAGAGTCTGCTTCTCCCTCTCCCTCTGCCTGCCGCTCTGCCTACTTGTGCTCTGTCAAATAAAATATAAATCTTTAAAAAATATATATTTATTCGAGGGAGAGCATGGTGCAGGGGAGAGGGAGAAGCAGACTCCCCACTGAGCAGGGAGCCCAACATGGGGCTTAATCCCAGGATCTCGAGATCATAGGACCTGAGTCAAAGGCAGATGCTCAACCCACTAAGCCACCCAGGCACCCCTGTGTCTGGTAACTCTGAAGGACTTATCGAAGGTGTACTTCTTCAAAGAGGATTTGATCTGGGTGCCTGGCATCTTACCAATTCAGGACTACTTTTAAATTCTTAGCTTTAGTTTTTCAACTCCTATGTCTGACAGTAAATCCGCATGAGCCCTGTCCTACTGTAATGAAATATGAAGGAAGATATGTGCCATTCCTCCCCCCCCACTTCCCCTAAGCACCAAGGCCAAGATAATTTTTCTTGCTATTTTTGTGGGAAAGATATTTTTCTTCTTAATTCACCTCCCCTTCTAGGTCCTTGCTCTACGCAAGAGTCTCCTGTTAAAGAGTTGCTATGTTGCGTGAGATTTGGACTAGGTTTATCTTTTAAAACTAACACCACTTGGATGGCTCATTCGATTTAAGTGTCTGACTCTTGATCTCAGTTCAGGTGTTGATCTCAGGGTCATGAGTTCAAGCCCCACGCTGGGGCTTCATGCTGGGTGTGGAGTCTCCTTTAAAAAACAAACTTTTTATTGTTTTCATGAAATTTTGGAGTGAAGGACTATAGAATTACTGCCAGTCTGTCGTTGAATTTATTAAAATGTCTACTGTTCCCTATAATACCCTTCTTGTTTCTTTGCTTACTTAGCTTTGTCCCTCTCTTGGGTTAATGATGTTTATGTCTGGATTTTTTGGTTCACACTTACAAAGTGAATTTTAGGACAGAGTAATAGTGTTAGCCTGTATTTTAATGGTGTTAGCATTTGTTTTCCTGACTGTTGATTTCCCTTAGCACAGTTACCTTCCCAGGGAAGCCTAAGATCAATCAAATCTGTTCTCCCATTGGACCCTGCCTCTGGCCCTGCCAGTACAGTGATTAACTGCTAGCAGTACTATTGTTACAGGAGTCCTCCTCCTAGCACTTACTGCCTCTCACAGGATTGACTTTGTTAAAGTTGGGGAATCCATGGGGTTCCTCTTTAGAATTAAGTCATCTTAGCAGGTGCCACACTTAACATGGTCATCAAGAAATGAGAATTTGTATATCTGCTTCTAGTGTTCATCTGACATTTGTTTGTATTAATCTTACTAGTGTTCACCAAACTCTGTAGAAATACGAGGTTGGGGCCTTTTTAAATTTCAGTGCATTTTTTTTCTAGTGCAATTTTAAAAATTTGCATTGGCTTTTATTTTTTGTTTGGGTACTAGGGAAATGGTAAATAGGTGCTAATATTGCCTGAAGTACATTATTTTTTCTCATAATTATATAAACGTTAATATCGTAATCATCATAGACAACTTGAAAAGAAAGGCAGCACTATTGGTTCCATAACATCTGTGAAAGCGTTACCATTAATTGGAGAAATAAGTGTATTGCTGTTGAGAAGTTGGCTTAAAATTGATAAGAACAACCTTAATTGGGAAGACACCCAAAAGCTGTTTTAATGATACCAGGGATGAGTATAGGTAGGCCTTTACTTTTGTAAATTAGTTTGCAGAATAGTTTAGAGTCGTTAGTACAAGATTTCTTTTCAGTAAGCACAGCCTTTCACATGGTAGCTAATTGGAAAAGAAAGTTGAAAAATCAGTCTCTTATTAAAAAGGCCATGATTTTCCTTATGTTTTTTCCCATCTAGAAGGGAATACTTATTTTTTTATTGGCTGTACAGTAAACAAGATGGTAGACTTCAGGTTGTGTGGTATTGTAACTCTGATTTGTGGTTTCTGCTTGTATTTTTTCTCCTCCAAAGATTTTTTTGAATAAACAACCAAACCCAAGAAAGAAGCTTCTTGTGCCTTGTGCACTGGATCGTCCTAACCCTAATTGTTATGTATGTGCCAGCAAGCCAGAGGTGACTGTTCGGCTGAATGTCCACAAAGTGACTGTTCTCACATTACAGGATAAGGTAAGTGCAGGGGCTGGTTCTCTTCCACAAGGTTTGTTCATTTTCCTCTTCTAAAAACAGGAAACCTAGGTTCCCTTCTGCTTGATAGTGTGATAACAAACTAAAAGCCACATAATTATTCTGAAAGATTCTGACTACTAAGGTGTGTTGCTCTAATATTCTACGTTACTTTACTATCTGGGTTGCTACTGGATTTTTTGGTCTGTGGTTCCAGAGTATGTGCCTCACATCCCAGAAAGGAATAGATGAATTTGGATGGAATATGCACCACAGGTGGTACAGAGGTGATGCCGTTTCTTGGCAAGCAAGAGACACTTTGTTCCCAGATAGTGTGTAAATTCTGTGTTTCCTGACAGGCGATATCCCTGATTGTGGTGTGTTAAGTTGGCCTTTTATGAAATGTTGCGTTTGGGTATCTGGATTCACCAGTAGTAGAGCTCTGGAGTGAAGGAAATGGAAGTTTAGGATGTGGTCTAATCCTTAGGTTCCTTCTAAGTTGGCTAGATTAGTTTCTCTATAAATGGCCCAAATGGGTGCCACTTCCCACTTTTGGGATCATTTCAGATTGCTCTCTGATAATCCCCATCATCATGTTTCATATTTATATGACATGGGGGCGATAGACCCTTGCTGCCTAGACTGCTTGAGAGGGAATAGCCTTTCTCCGAGAACTGATTGCATAGGGCAGATTGATTTGAGCTTATGTTTTGATGGAGAAGCAGCAGGATTTGGTAAACTGGCCAGCAGAGGGTGATTGGCCCCCCCTGCTCTCTTAGGAAATAATTATAGTTGGTATGTAGTCATTCTTGAGCTTAAAGCAAGCCAGCTATATGTGAGATAATCAGACCTTTAGAGAATTCCTGTTATTTTTAAGAGCAGCTAGGATTTGACAGATTATCATCACTCCTGATCCATCTTGGAATTGAAAGAGTTGGAACTTGGGAAGAGGAAGACTATCCAAGAATCAGTTTTAATGAGAAATTTTCCATCTATAAAACATCTGCAAATAGAGGATTGGCATAGAGACTAAGATGAAATATGCCAAGTGTCTAGCTCAGTACCTCATCTGTAGGGAAGAAAAAATACTAAGCCAATCAAGAGTTCGCAATCTCCCATTTGGAGGAAGTTTTATCTGAACTTCATCAGTGGTCAACATGGGCATGGAGTAATTGGGTGAATTTCCAGTGCTTTCCTTCATGCCCTGAGGTATCTTGACGAACGACTTTGCCCCTTTCCAATGGAAGGGGAAAGTAAGAGCCTTTATGGAAAAAATGTCTTAAGTTTTTTTATGGTCTTTAGCTATATATAAATTAATATTTTGTATCTTTTTTTCTTATAGATAGTGAAAGAAAAATTTGCTATGGTAGCACCAGATGTCCAAATTGAAGATGGGAAAGGAACAATCCTAATATCTTCAGAAGAAGGAGAGACCGAAGGTATCATACATTGCATTTATTCACTCCCCTCATTTGGGTGGAAACTGTATACATGAAAAAGTAACATTAGTTTGTCCATTTACTATACATGTTACTCAGTATCACAGCTGATGGGGGCAATATTTGGTCATGGAAGTGCTCTCCCTAGGTGGCACTGCCTTGCTGGGATCACTGCAATTCCAGGTCTGGGGACTCCCGTGTTGTCAGGGTATCTCAGGGACTGTTTCTCAAGAACCCAGTGCATAGTCAGGTTTACAGTGACCATGATGCTCTTGTTCACTAACAAGGAACCACCTTGCCTGTATCATGGATCCTGGGAGCTGAATCAGTAATGAGAAGATTGCTCTGGCTGTTACGGTAGGAAGGGTAATTTAAGGCTATTAGGTGTTTTGTCCAAGAGTAGAGAAAGAAGCCTTGATAGCCCGTTATAGAGCAGAAAGTAATGCTGAAAATCAGTGCCCACTTTTGGTTTTCTAGGCTTTCCTTTTCAAAAGTTTAAGCAGGTCAGGGCACTTGGGCGGTACAGTTGGTTAAGCGTCCAACTCTTGGTTTTGGCTCGGGTTATGATCTTGGGGTTGTGGGATTGAGCTCCGTGTTGGTCTGTGCGCTCAGCACAGAGTCTGCTTGGGATTCTCTCTCTCCCTCTCCCTCTCCCTCTCCCTCTGCCCCTCCCACTTGTGCACTCTCTCTCTAAAATAAATAAATCTTTTTTTAAAAATGCAAGCAAGTCATCCCTTAATGCATTTATTGTAAAAAGTATGATGCATTTGATTCTTTTTCAGCTTTCTTAGAATTAGTTATGGTTATGTCCCCTTCAGACTGCACTAGTCTACGTTCCCATACCTCTTTGGTCACTTTGGCAGCTCATCTCTTTGGGCTCCTGTTTTAGTTGATTTCTCCACATCCCCAATTTTGTCAGTGTACCATTACTTTAAAAACCTGGGGGCAGTTTTCCCCAAGTACATGATGTATTTATTCACACATTTGTTCATTGGTCATTTATTCAGGACACTTTGCCCTATCCTAATGAGGTTATTCAAATGTCAAGCCTTTACATTAAAACCTAGTGTCAGGATTCTTGACTGTAGATTTTGTCAAGAAAATGTTTGAGATACTAGGTCATGAGTAATTCGAGGCCGTGTTTTGGATAGGTAGTAGTCTATTTTAAGAAATCTAGTTGACTATTAAGCCCCATTTTAGCCAGCTGTCTTCATACACACAGAGAAAGTTTATCCATGACTATACATTCTCTCCTTGGTTCTGTGGTTCTGGCCAGCTCTTTCAAATGCTAGGACTTTAAAAATGGAAACAGGTCAAGAATCTCTGTGGCTTAAATCTCTGGCCCTTTTCCACAAAATACATGTGCTACTGAGGGGGCTAGCATTTATTCAAATATGTTTAGAGTCCTTCTGTGTTATAGGTATAGTCCTAGGTGTTTATAATTCAAGAATGAATAAGGCAATGGTCCCTGTCTTGAAGTACTTTAGAGCCTGGAAGGAGAGGAGAAATGATGAACAAGTGGATTTAGTACAATCTAAGAAATAACTATAGGAACAGACGTATAAGGTAAGAATTAGAGCCTTGTAAAGAGAGGAGGGTCACGGGAGAAAGGACTCCTGGGCCAGTTCCTAAAGATGTAAAGGCCCTCTGGGCAGAGAAGGCAGTATCTGCACTTGCACAGAATCAGCAGCCTTTACAAACGTAAACGGCTTTTGGAATGGCCGGTTATTTGTTTCAGTGGAAAGTGGGGTGCTGCGGGTTAGCAGTGGTGGCACAGCTAGAGGGCTTTCTGTGGCGTACACGTGACATGTGTTTGTCATCCTCTTCCCTCAGTGCCCTGCTACCACCAAGGCTTCTAAGCAGGGAAGTAATATATTAACTTCTAGCATTGTCTGCCGGGGCGGGGCGGGGGGGCGGTTAGGCATGTGAAAGAAGAAGCGGGGAGCTATTTAGGGAGGAAAAAATGAAGGTAACGAGGGATTTTTACTGAGGCAGTAGCAGATGTCATGGTTGAGATTTGGAGTCAGAGTTCAGGGGCCAGGTGAGGAAAAGTGGCATTGTTGGGCTGATACAGGACTGCCGCCATGACTCTGGCTTTAGAGATGGTGCTAATTGACGAGGATAGAATGAATGCACAGTAACTTTTTTTTTTTTTCAAACATGTTGGGTTTGAGGAGTTTGTAGTGAGTGGAGAATGTGAGAAAGGACTTGAGGATGGAAGTGTGGGTAGGAATTATAATTCTCTGAAGGCATTCCAGGTAGATTAAAAAGTTAAAATAAGAAACCTGCAGGGGCATCCCCGCGGCTCAGTCAGTAGAGCATGCGGCTCTCGATTTCCAGGTCATGAGTTGGAGCTCCACATTGGGCATAGAGTTTACTTAAAAAAAAAAAAAAAAATCGGGAAGGGGGAGGAGGGGGGATTGGTTAGCCCGGTGATGGGTATTAAGGAGGGCACTTACTGCATGGAGCACTGGGTGTTACACGAAAACAATGAATCATGGAACATTGTACATCAAAAACCAATGATGTATTGTATGGTGACTAACATAACATAATAAAATTTAAAAAAAATCTATAAAAGAATTAGAAACTGTCAGTAGTTTCTGGGTTTCAGATTCAAGGAGGGAGGATCCTTTCTAAGCATTTTCCTTATAAGCGACAAAAGAAATTATAAAAACCAACAAAGAAAAAGATTACTAGATCATATAGAAAAATCACGTAAATTTAATGATAACTAGAATTTAAAATACAGTTTACTTAGTATGTGCCAGGCACTACATAGGTCAACAGGTTCTATACACTCTGTGCCCCTCATGGAGCAAATACTCAATAAAGCGCAGTCTGTCGTGAAGAGGGGGTGAAACTGGGAGCAAAGTGAGGAAGCAGTTTTGTAAGTGATACTTGAGTGCTTTTACAGGTCGAGAGAAGAGCATTTGAACGTGCAGGAGAGAAAGGGTAATTAAGGCAGAAAGACTCAGAAATAGGAGGAGGTGGTGACATCAAAAGTTTGATTGGAAGAATTGTTCTTCATTGGAATATTTATAATCCATGTAGCAAAGATTTATTAAATGCTGTGGGTATTAGGCACTGTGCAGAAATGACATGTAGAAGCTAAAACTAGATTGGAGTGATAGGGGAGGTCCCGTAGGCTCATCATTGAGAAATGTTGAAAAATGGAAAATCCATTCAAATCAACAAAGTTTTCTCATTTTCTGAATTATAGAATTTGCTGAAAAGTAGTTTGTTGGAGTTGTCATGGATAACCTCTTTGCAAGTAGAATATATTTTGAACAACTCTAAAAGTTGTCTTCCAACTCCTCCAGGATTCCAGATTAATTTGGTTTGAATGGGAGAATGTTGTCAGAACTCCACACGGTTTGGTTCTTTTTAAGCAGTTTTAATAGTTGGAGTATTCTTCATTCAGGACTGAATTTCTAAGTGCCTAATATTTTAGTGCATTAGTTTGGTAGAGTCACCATTCCAGAATACACAGACAGGGTGACTTAAATAACAAATTTATTTTCTCATAATTCTGGAGGCTACAGGTCGTTAAAATCAAAATGTCCACAGGTTTGGTTTCTCTTGAGGGACTTCTTACAAGGATTCTGGTTAGGTTGGATTAGGGCCCACCCTAACAGCCTCATTACAAGTTACTCAGCTCTTTAAAAAGCACCATCCAAATACAGTCACGTTCTGAGATGCTGGGGTTAGGACTTCCAACATAGGAATTTTAGGGGGCAACCAGAATTCAGCTCATAGTAGGGGTTTAATCTTTTTTAAATTAATAGGATTGCTCCAGTGGAATATATAACTGAAGTATCTAAATTCCTTTCTAATTTCTTAGCTAATAATCACAAAAAGCTGTCAGAATTTGGAATTAGAAATGGCAGCCGGCTTCAAGCAGATGACTTCCTTCAGGACTACACTTTATTGATCAACATCCTTCATAGGTAGGAACTATTAATATTTTAAGTGTAAGAAATTATTTGAATATAAAAACTTTAAAGTGAAGAAAAAATGTTTTCTTACCCTTAAGCCCTACTGTTTGTTTGAAACCATGCAGTATATTTGCTTGAGTTGGCTACTAAGTTCCCTGAGGCTTGACCTACGGAAGAATTTGGGAATTCAAAAACAAAAGGGATAGGCAAAAAATATTTAAGGGTAAGTCATCATAGTGTCTAATCAGAAAGATCTAGAAAAGGTAGAAATCCAGACATTTGAATCAGAAGTGAATTCATTTTGATAATTGAACTAAAATAAAAACTTCTATTATTTTAAAGATTCATTAGAAGAAATCTTCCTCCCATTAGACAGATATTTCATTTGTGGTGTATAACAATAACAAGACATTTAAAAATTATCCTATAGAGAATTTTGAATCATGTATTTTTTTCTTTTCGATTTAATGTCCTGCTATTTTTATAAAAAGCATTCATGTGCTTGCATTACAGAATATTTACGTATATGTAACAATTAGAATGAGATGGTCCTCCACTTTGGTATGGTTAGCTGTTGAATAAGGTGCATTTTTGTGCATGCTCCCATTGATAGACCCAAACTACACAGTGACTTAGACTTTTGGGCACCATCTAACAAACATGAAGGGGGTTGCCATCTGCATCCAGTTTTGCCAATATTGCCATCTCTCTATGAACTTCAAGCTTGTGTAGTTGTTTGGAGAATATCACATTTTATGTACTTGTTTGGTTTATAAAAAGCGTAAAATGACAGGAAAAACTGAATGTGAGTTAGTAGTAGTAAGTACAACTTTCACAAAGTTAGACAGTTGAGTCAAAGATAGATATTGCTAGGGAGTGATCTCTAGCCTCAGACACCATTAGATGCCGGTGGTGTGCTTGTGTTCAATTATACAAGAAAAAACAACAGAAGGACATGTACAGTAAAATGGAAATATATCAGATGGTGTCTAAAGAGGAGGCATAATTAGGGTTTTTTTTATCATATTTTTTAGCTCTCTGGGAACAGAACCCCCCCCCCCCCTTATAACATGTAAGTCTTTTGCTTGACTTTCATGCATTAAACTTTCATACATGTTTTTGGGAACTCATTACCAAAGCAGGGTGCTGCTGGTAAAGATGGGAAACCCAGAGCCCATGTAACCCCCCTATTCCTAAAACACCAAATGGCCCTGGTCAAGAGCAGAGTAGAGTGTGTAAATCTTTAAACATGGTAGCTGAAGAAATAATGCCTAAGAGCTAGTTTGGGCCACAGAGTTTTGAACTCCATTTTCTGCTCTAGCAGTAAAAGTTGTGTTAATATTTTTTAAAGACCTTTTCCTTGATTTGAAGGGGCATTGGTATTGACCATTTGAATTATCCCAAAAATTTGTTATGTGCAGTCTTATTTTTGGTTTTATTAGCTCTTTGAAAATCAGGATCTATTTGGTGTGTACATCGTACTTGCACTTAGAGCTTTGAGGAGCAGTGTCTCTGTTGTTCCTTTGCTTTTGTCAGTAGTCGTGGTGGCCCAGTTTTACAGTGTGTTGTTCTTTTAACAGTGAGGACCTAGGGAAGGATGTTGAATTTGAAGTTGTTGGTGATGCCCCAGAAAAAGTGGGGCCCAAACAAGCCGAAGATGCTGCCAAAAGCATAACCAATGGCAGTGACGATGGAGCTCAGCCTTCCACATCCACTGGTGAGTCATGGCCCCAGCCAGCCAGCACTTTAATTATCCACCAGGCAGGCCATTATATAGAAACGAACTATGATTATTTTATGAATTTGACCATAAAACAGAAATCCATAGGACGATTAGAGGTGTGTATTGATTTGGCGTTGATTGTTTTAATGGAGCTCTGAATATATGAACCAATGAAGACTTTAAAGACTAGGGGAAATTCTTATGGAAAATAGGAACTGTTCGTTTTTGTTAGTGGGTTTTTACAACTGGAAATGTCCGTGAATTGACTAGTGCATGAAGATACTTCATCCTTTGTAGTAGTAGTTTTGGATTTTGGGTACCTGTTTTATTTAGGGGAAACAAATCAATGCATCTGACTATTTTGAGTGAACAGATGCTGTAAGTATAGGATTTTTAGCATTTCACAGTCTCTCAGAACCATTATGACTTTGGTAAAGTGCATCAGAGGCTCTGTTTCCCTGGGTTTTCAGTACTAGTGCTTGGTGCTTTACTGTGTGCTCAGATTTGGATGTTTTCTACCTACCCACATCCCACAACAGCCCCCCTCCCTTCATTCTTTACTCAGGAAACTAAAAGTTACCAACTTTTTTTACTTCTTTGTTTCCATTTCTTTAACCCTGTGTCTTTGGTGTTCTTTGGAATATGGTTGTTCTTGGTTCTTACGTTCTCTGAGAATTTTAAAGATGGACTTTGAGACTAGCTAGAGTGTGGTCCACCTGAGCCATGGGGTCATGACCTTTTTCCCTCTCCAAAAATAGAAAAGTCTATCATTTTCCTGTGAGGAAGGGACTGTGGTAGTTTTTCAGAAACCATAATTTGAAATGTGAATTGATTGATCCCTTACTGTGGGTAGGTTTGGGAGGCAATAGCAACGAGTAAGATAGGTAGGTACTCTGCCTTTGCTTTGGCGCGGGGGGTGGAGGGTGGGTTGGGGGTGGTACACGAAACCAGCTGTGGTGTAAGGTTATGAGCATGCACGGTAGAGCCCACTGCGTGGATTTGAATCCTGGCCTCATCCTCTGCTATTGTGTGACCTTGGGCAAGTCAATCTCTGTACATCAGTTTCCTTTTCTGGAAAACGGATAATAATGTTATCTTCTTTATAGGGTTGTTGTGATGATTAAATGAGTTGTTATATGCAAAGTGCTCAGAACAGTTCCTGGCACATTGTAAGTGCTATATATATGTTGTTGTTGTTGTTGTTTTATTACTATTACTACCACTACCAGTATTAGGATATGCACCCTCCCCTTTTCTGTTGGAGAAATAGCAACAAGGAGCTATAATAATTTGAGTTCTATAATGCTTGTTACAATTTTTTGTTAAGATTAGAAAACAAATCGGTGCTTGTTACAGAAAACATTAAAACAGTACAGAAATGTGTCATGTATAAAGTGAAGGTTCCCTAACGGTAGCCTACCATTCTTAAGTTTGGTGTATGTTAGAAATGCCAGCTTTTCACTTTCATAAAATATTAGTAAATCACTCATAACTCCCACACTTGTAACCATTTTTTCCTTTTTTTCTGAAATAAGCACAAGAGCAAGATGATGTGCTCATAGTTGATTCAGATGAAGAAGGTCCTTCAAATAATGCTGACATCAGTGAAGAAGAGAGAAGTCGCAAGAGGAAATTAGATGAGAAAGAGAATGTCAGTGCAAAGAGGTCCCGCACAGAACAGACAGAAGAGCTTGATGATGTTATAGCATTAGATTGAACAGAAATGCTTCTAAACAGAACCCTCTTACTGGGCAGAACCAGGTTATTTGTTATGTTCTTTGTTCCAAAGGGAAAAAATTGACACCAGTGACTTGAAGATGATTCTGCTCCCTTTGAAAGCAAGCATTCATTTTGCTAGAACAATTAGAAACACTGCAGTATGCTGTATTGAAAGTAGGAATATAGTTTTAAAGCCCTTTGAACAAAGTGTGTGCATAACCAGTCATGAGATGAAACAACACGATGCATGTTGCCTTTTTAATGTAAATACCCTTAGGTATCATTTAACAGTTTTAAAATATTGTCGTTTAGTAAAGTTGATACCTGGTTATAAATATTATGCCTTTATTTTTGGTTAGAAGAAGAATTATTTTTAGCCTAGATCTAACCATTTTCATACTCTTAACTGACTGAAACAGATGCAAAGAAGTATCAAGTGCTATGCATTGAAATGTGTTTTTAAATGTTAACTGGCACTATGTATATTAATGTAAAACAATGTTAATTTACTCAAGTTTTCAGCTTGTATTGCCTGGTATGTCTGTGTAAGAAGCCAGTTTTTGTGTATTGTTACAGTTTCAGGTTATTTATATTTGATGTTTTGTAGAACTCAAATACGACTATACTGTACTTATGGACCAAATAAATGGCATCTGCATACTTGTTACACATGCCTGCATAGTTCACGTCTCTGCTGCCTTACTGGGTTTATGTATTACTGCAGGCATGAGAAATTCTTTCCTTCTAAAGAGTTAACTCATAATGAATGTGAAAGTTAAATGATCTCCACTGTTTGCCATAGATAAGTACTTTCTAAAATAAAGCTTTTATGGCAGTGTTACTTTTTAAGTTTGGATTGTAAACAACTGGCCTTCTGTTGAGAACATTAAGTGATCTTTGCCCAGCCCCAGGAACTTAGAACTTTGGATTTGAGATTCCAGAGCAGGGGAGAGTCTTCCTTATTCTGCAGTCTTCTCTGGGTTGCCCCTCCCCACCCCCCCACCCCCGATTCATCAGAGTCCCTTCTTGAGTATACCATTTAGGGTCCAACTCCAGCCTACAGAAGTGGCCAGACCAGCCCTGGATGGATCAGCACCCATGTCTCCGCCTTGGACCTCAGAGGGCCTTGGCCCTTAGGGTACTCTCCTCACACAGATGTGCCTTGAGTTTTCAGATAACAGAAACCCCTGAAGCTGTTCCCCCACCACCACCCCATTTGATACCTCAGCCTTTGGTGGTTTTGTGGCTACAGTCAATTAAATTTCAAATTGTTAACTCATTAAATTTTGTTTCACTTTGTATAATTCTTACTCTGCCTTCTAGCTTATTAACTCTTGCTCCTTGTTTTGTATCATTTGTAAATTCAGCATGTAATCAAAGCCTGCAGAAAAATGTTGAACAAGACTCAGCCCTCAGGAGCATGCCGCTTGATGCCTGCAGGATGGACTGACTTCCAGCCTTCAATACAGCACTGGGCAAACTGAAGCCCCACCTACAGCTATATGAGCCCGTGAGGTTCACTTTGCCTTTAGATTTTTAGATGTCCCATTTTCCTCCAGAAAAAAAAATCTCAAAATTACAGAACTGTGTAACAGACAATGGTGAAATATTCTGGAATTCCACCTCTCAGAAATGTTTCAGTTAACTGGTTGGTCACTGGTGATCGTGTTTCAATTTTGAAATTCCATTCCTAAAACCTAACCCTGCCCTTGTAGACTCAATTGTCAAAATGGTTTCCAGCATTTTGTATATTTTATTTTTTTCCCATTTGTACATAAATAGCAGTAAGAGCCAGTTTGATCTGCAGAGATCGGTTTCTGTTTTGGCAGACCAGTGGTTTTTATCTCTGCAACAACTCTATTACTACCTTTTCCAGCAGGTTCTGTCCATTTTCAACCTGTTTTTATAAAATCAGGGTTTATCAGCAAGGCAGGTCCGATACATGGGTCTTGCCCATGTAGACTAAGCAGATCCAAGCTGCCTGCACGCCCCTGGAGCATGGCCACGCTTTAGATGTGGCCTGGTATTTGTGGTTTTCCCGTGCGAGTTGTCTTCTCAGTTGGGGAGCCAGACGCAGAGCTCGTCAGGGGCCTTTCCCCAGCAGCTCCACCCTGAAATACAGTCTGACAAACCATCTTCCAGCCTTAATGGGAACAGTCTGCTGACCCAAGCTTACCTATCTAGTCTGTTGTCCCAAAGATGAGTCTGCATACTTGGCATGTACGAGAGGATTCAGTGTTTTAATATGGAGCCTGACCACGTAAGTAATCAATCAGGCAGACATCAGTGTAATCATCCAAAACCTTCAGTAACAGGCTGTTGAGGAACAGAATCTTTACAGTGTTCAAATGTTGCTGTACAGATAACTCACCAAGGAAAAAACAACCACCTTTGATAATGGACTGATCTGTCCCCGCTGTAATCACATACTCAAACCTGGTATCAGGGACACCTTAACGTGTGCTTCCCAGTGAGATGATACGAAGACTACAACAGCACAGAAAAAAACCTGTTCACCTGAACCTAATGCAGCAGTTAGACCCAACTTCCAGCTGACAGGAAAGAGGGTGTAGAGGAACAAGCTAAACAACATTAGGAGGAAACAAGTACAGAATGTGGGACATTCTTGAACTCAAGTGCAAAATACATGACTAGCAATTCTTGCGATAATTGGAAATTTGAAAATGGGATAAAGTGATAATGGAAGTATTTTCTTAGGTATGATAATGTCCTTGTACTTATGTAGGCCAGTGTCTTTATTCTTCGAATATTAGGGATGAAGCTTCATAACAATTTTTAAATGGCTCAGCAAAATACACAATACAGGAAGAAAAAGATAACATTTATTAAATCTAGGTGGAGACTATATACGTTGTTCATTGTACTATCCAACTTTTCTCTGAAAACTTTCGTAATAAAAGTGGAGAGAGAGATATATATATAGTCTGTATTTTCCTTCTGTGCCTATGTGACTTTCAAGTTTTGTAATGAATACTTATGATTTTAATCAGAAAGGCAATAAAGATTAAAAATATAAGTTGGCATGGAAAAGTGTTGCAGTGATTCCTGGGTCCAACATTGATGAAGTCCGCTTTGTTCATCCTTGTTGCTAGGCTGTGACTTAGGAAGAATTCTTTCATTTGAGCCTCCAGAGAACTAAGAAGAGAGCCAAGTTGCTCCCGGTAGATTAATGGTTCACTTAGAAGTTCCAGAAAACATTTGGTTCATAATAGATGTTCCTCTTCCTGGAAATTGCCCATGGGTGGCCAAGGAACATTGGCAAATTTAAGCTTCCTACTAGCCCTTTGTAATGTACAGAAAATAGAAACTTAGAAAGTAAGTAAAAGAAAACCCAAAGAAGTTAGGGAAGAAAAAACGATATGTTTCTAGTCACTGTGACTTGGGGAGGGGGTAAAGGCCTCCTGGAATCTCCATTTGACCATTTGCGGGAGGATATATTTAGAGAAGTATTTTTATAGACCCTTTCATACTGGGAATACATTATTTGCATTCTGCACACAGGGAACTTTCCCCCCTGCATCTAATTTAAAATAAATTCCAGCCAAAAGTTTATTTGAGAAATTTTTGAACTGTTCTCAATAAAAAGATCATCTGAGTTGAACTACAGGACTATGATGATGCTCTGAAGTTTGACTATATCCCAAAGATAAAACGTTTTCCTGGTAAAATAACAATTTGAGGGTTTTGTTAAATGTCTCTCAGCTTAAAAAATTTTAAATCTTAGCAACAAGTGACGACTTACATAGGGAAAGACTCAGAAAATTTTTACTAGAATGTACAAATACTCCAAGTAGATCTTCAGGCTTTTACTTTAGAAATCCACTGGAGCGCCTGGGTGGCTCAGATGGAGGGAAGGCTCCCCGAGGAAATCCAGAGAAAGGAGAAAGTGCTGAGCAGGCAAAACAAGAAATGTTCTTGATGACAGTTTTGTCTTTGCCCCTTCACTTACAAATATCTCACCTAGGGCCCCTGGGTGGCTCGGATGGTTAAGTGTCTGCCTTCAGCTCAGGTCATGATCCAGGGTCCTGGCATCAAGTCCCAAGTCATGCTCTCTGCTCAGCAGGGAGTCTGCTTCTCCCTCTGCCCCTCCCCCTGCTTGTGCTCGCTCTGTCTCTCTCAAATGAATAAAATCTTAAAAAAAAACTCCAGTCAGTCTCAGAAAAATGTAGGCATTGTGCACACTGCCATTCGCTCATTCTGTAAACGTGTGTTGCATCCCTACTCTGCACCATGCTACTACACTTCTTAGAAAACCGTGCCAACCTTGCCAGCCTGGGTAGAAACCTTTGAAAGCAGTAAGACACTAAGGTCTGGTGTTCACAGAAACTTCTTACCAATGGCAGCAAGAGGTGGTGGGATGGGGATCCTGTGTGTCTCCCAGCTTCCCAGTTAGTCCCCGCGTCAGCTTCCAGCAGCACTAAAAGTCATGAACGCCAACCTCCTGCTCAAGAATGTAGTAACAAAGCTGTAGAAATGAGGATTCCCAAATGTCCCACCCCATGGAACTGCAGGTCGCTGGGGTGACCACCACATACAAAGTTTGTGTATAAATTCCCTTTCCTGGATGCAGGATAAGGTTTCAGGGCAAGGAAGTGAAGGTCCTTCCGAGGTGGCCACTCCCACCCTTAGGAAGGAAGCAAGCTGAAATTATCTGATCCTAACCCTAATTCTTAGATTCGGGGAACCATGCCTGTCCATGGCTTTAGATGTCAATGCTTTGACCCTTCTCTTCCCCTGAAGAGGCCAAAGGGGATACCAGGACCAGGGGAAATTGGCGGACTCAATCTGGTTGAGAGAGCTGGGCCTCAAAGGAGAGGATGGAAAAATCCCTCTGGGCACAGCTCCCAGTAGATGTCCCGCCAGTAGAGGGGCATCAGAGAGCCCGCACACCTTGTGGGGAAACTGGCCCTTAGGAGCTGAGCTGGGAGAGGTAGCAGTGGGCTTCAGGGGAAAGACTTCCCGCTGCTCTCCCCAGGAAGTACTATGTTATAGGGGTAAAGATTGCTGCAGGCTGAGGGAGAGAAAGAAGAGTGGGTCCCAGAAACCCCCATATGGTGTTTGGCTGTGTGCCATCCCTCTTCCCTAGGAACCCAAGGTAAACAGCCACACTTGATTGGCATGAGTGTGTCCCAAGACCGGGAAAACCCGACTCGTGTCCGTAATTGGGGTCCAGACAATACAAACACTACAGACAGATAAGGGGGTCTGATGGAAGCCAGATTACAAGGAGAGACAGGAGGGGGAATCTTTAAACCACCATTAGTGTAGACAGTCTGGGTAGGATTGGCCTCTGGAGAACTACAAGGAAAAGACTATGGTTTAGGACTTAGTGTGAGACTAGCCTGAACATGTCCTGTTCCAGCCTCCTGAGTGTGTCCCCATCCCCAGACAATGGGAAGATTCTGGTTGAGAGGATGATAGGACCAGAGGCCCCACAATTCCGTTGTGAAACTTTAACAGCATAACCCAGGTAGTTAGAACCAGCTCATACGAGCTTCTGAGAGCTGATTATATCCATTTCTTCCCCGCTCTCTGCAGTAATACCATGTTGGTGGTTTGAAATTCACCACAATGGTATTGGTAAATGCTATAAACCAGGGCTCCTGATTAGTACAATTCTCCCCCAAGAGCACTGCTTGCTAATCAACTATCAGCACACCACTGGACCGAGGAAGAAAAGGGCCAAAGAAAGAGGTGAACACGGAGAACATCCCTCCATCAGTGGAGGAGGGAAAAGGCATCAGCAGAGGCTGGCGAGTGAGAAAGCAAGCCTTTTGGGTCATTTCTGTTGGTGGGTCTTTGTTATTAATTACTTAATTACCATTAGGGTAAGCAATGTGTTTTAGCTGACCCTATATATTGTTACTTAGCGGACTCCAATAGACTGTTAAAATCTTGTTAAAAGCTCTAACTGGGCAGGTGGGGATGAAACAGTTATTTAAGAACTACTCAGGGCAGAGAGGCCTTTTCAGGAGGCTAGACATCCTAGGACTGTATAGATTACATAAATAACACGATAAACACTTTTATGCTTGCATCATTATTTGCAGTTTGGATTACTTCTCTAGAACAGATTCTTTTTTTTTTTTTTTTTAAGATTTTATTTATTTATTTGAGACAGAGAGAATGAGAGACAGAGAGCATGAGAGGGAGGAGGGTCAGAGGGAGAAGCAGACTCCCTGCCGAGCAGGGAGCCCGATGCGGGACTCGATCCCGGGACTCCAGGATCATGACCTGAGCCGAAGGCAGTCGCTTAACCGACTGAGCCACCCAGGCGCCCTCTCTAGAACAGATTCTTGAAGCATTACTGTGTAGAACAGTGTTTTTGTTCATGACACTGTTAATACCACCAAATTGCTCTTCCTGACAGGATGTACCAACTTACATTCATACCAGCAAAATATGCCGTTTCACCACAGTCTTGCCAATGTTTCCATTTTTATTTTTATTTATTTATTTTTAAACATTTTTTTTAAAGATTTTATTTATTTATTTGAGAGAGAGAGAGAGTGAGAGAGAGAGAGCGCAAGAGGGGGTAGGGTTAAAGGGAGAAGCAGACTCCCTGCGGAGCAGGGAGCCCGATGTGGGACTCGATCCCGGGACTCCGGGATCATGACCTGAGCCGAAGGCAGTCGCTTAACCAACTGAGCCAACCAACTGAGCCACCCAGGCGCCCCAATGTTTCCATTTTAAAATATTAGATAATGTGGTCAGTGAAAGGTGATATTTCATTGTCGATTTTAATTTGCTCCTCTTTTCTCAGAGTGGAGCTCATTTCTCGTGGGATGGCTCCTCTGGGTATTTGCTCCCCCAAACGTATGCATCCACCTGTGCCTGCCCCCCGCACCCTGAGCTTGGTTGGTTGGTTGACTGGCTGGGTGGGTGGGTGGGTTGGAATTCCGCAAGATCCGAGGGGCGCTGTGAAGGACTTGCCGGGGGAGACCCTGCTCAAACGCCCACTGAGGAGAATGGGCCACACTGCAGGCTTCTCAGCAATGTTGAGGCCAGAGGTCCTCTGTGGTCAAGCTGCGCCAACACAATCCCCCATTCAGGATCCCCGCTCCCTGCCACACCGTGGGCATCTTCCTGAAATTCTCTGAGCAGAGGGGGGTGCCTCCAAAGAGACAAAACCCTTCCACTCAAGTCGTTTTCCCGAATCCACCAGGTCATGGCAGATAACGGTTTGCTTTTCCCTACAAGCTGTTTGAAATATACACGGACTTTGTAGCTTGTATTTTGGGGGACAAAGCCCTAGTTACCTGTCGTTCACCGCCCCTCCCTCCCAGTGTGGTTCCCAAGGCCCCACCGTGTCCCAGTACCTGTGGCAGCCCAAGTGCTTTCAGGAGCCTCCTTGGTGCCTCACCCGAGCCCCTGAAGGCAGGTGCTGGAAAAAGGGGGTGTCCTCGCAGCTCTTCGTGACTGCCTGTCTGGGTGGCCACATCTGGGGCTCACCGGTCCACCGGCTTAGCCTGAGGCCTGCTTCCGGCCTGGCCTGGCCTTGGGGGCCCGCGCACAGCGACCAGGCGGGAGGACCAGTCCCCAACCAGCCCCGGCTTCCAGCACTCGGCGCCTTCCCCACCAGGCAGCCCACCCCCCGCCCCGCGGCCCCGATGCGCAGCCTCATGGCTCCGGGGCGGGCTGGGGGGGCCGGGGGGTCACTCGAAGTCCTGGGGGCCCATCTGCACGAGACGCACAGGGTCCTCCCGGGTCCCGGAGCGGGAGCAGCGCTTCTGGCCCGGGCTGAACTAGCCCGGCCCAGCGCCTGAAACCCTGGCGGCGCTGGTTAGTAAGATGGGAGGATGTGGGAACCGTTTGTCAACTGCTCGTATTTCTTTCTCGGGCCGGGACCGCGGGAGCCGCCTCCAGCTCAGCCCGCGGGAATCCGGGACCTCTCCAGAGGCCCGACGGCCCTGGCGCACGGAGGCGCCCGCCTCGGCCCGCGCCCACTGCCGCCGCTTCGGCCCCCGAGGCCGGCTCTCCGCTGCACGCCCGGCGTCCCGACCCAGCCTCCGCGCCCCTCCAAGCGCCCGGCCAAGCGCGGCCGCCGCCGCTCCGCCGCCGCCGCCACTCCCCCACATTCCAGAGGCCGCAGCGCCGTCTCCTTCCTCGCATTCCTGCCCCCACAAAGGAGTCCCTCCGCCCCCCGCGCGGCCGCCGGGAGGAGGGGGCGCGGCCCGGCGCCGCCGAGCGCGCATTCCTCCGCCGCGCGCGCCCCTCAGCGGAGCGCCGCGGCCCCCGGACCGCGCGTGGCCGGCGCCGCGACCCCGGCCCGGCGCCGGCCCCGCCCCGCCCCGCGCCCAGGGGTCCCGGGGCGGGCTCCGGGCTTGGGGCGGACGATGCGGCGGCGCGGCCGGAGCGGCGGCGGGAAGCGGAGGCGGAGGTGACGCGCCGGGCCGGCGGGCCGGGCCATGCAGCGCTCCCGGGCGGCCGCGGACGAGGCGGCCCTGCTCCTGGCCGGGCTGGCCCTGCGGGAGCTGGAGGCGGGCGGCGACTCTCCAGGCCGGGGTCGGCGGGGGCCGCGGCCCGGGCCGGGAGACGAGGCGGCGCAGGCGCTGGGCCGCAGAGGGAAGGGCGGCGGCGGCGGCGGCGGCCCCGAGGCCGGGCCGGACGGACTGAGCCGTGGGGAGCGAGGCCCGCGGCGCGCGGCGGCCCCCGAGCTCAGCGCGCAGCCTGCGGGCAGCCCGCGGGCCAGCCTGGCGGGCTCCGACGGCGGCGGCGGCAGCGCCCGCTCCAGCGGCATCAGCCTGGGCTACGACCAGCGCCACGGCAGCCCGCGCTCCGGCCGCTCGGACCCGCGCCCCGGCCCCGGGCCGCCGTCGGTGGGCAGCGCCCGCTCCAGCGTGTCCAGTCTCGGCTCCCGCGGCTCGGCCGGCGCCTACGCCGACCTGCTCCCGCCCGGCGCCGGCCCCGCGCCGACTCGCTCCCCGGAGCCTGCGGGGCCGACCCCCTTCCCTCTGCCTTCGCTGCAGCTGCCCGCGGGCCGAGAGGGCGGCCCGAGCGCGGCGGAGCGGCGGCTGGAGGCGCTGACCCGCGAGCTGGAGCGGGCGCTGGAGGCGCGCACGGCGCGGGACTACTTCGGTGAGCGAGCCCGGCCGCGCCGCCCCCCGCGCCCGGCCCGAGCCCCCCGGCGCCGCCGGGGTGGGCCGCGCGGAGAAGAGCGTGTCTCGGAGGGGTGGGCGGGGGCGAGTGCGCGCCGCAGGGTCCGAGGTTTATTTAGAGCGGCGACTTCGCCTGTGAGTCTCCGGCCGAGGAAGGGGTTCTGGCCGAGTGAGTTGGTGCACTCACTGTTCCTCACTTGAGGAACCAGCCATGTCGGCCGGCGGAATTAGCCGTTTTCGGATCATTTCTTCTTCATCCTTAGCGCTTGCCTCTGCTCATCCTGCACTGCGCTTTGTGATCGGCAGTGCAGGACCCCGCCGTGCTGGTGTTCCCGTAACCCCCGGCAGTGTGGGGAGTGGACAGGAGCAGGGAGGTGGACTGGGCCGGGTACCACGGGACCCTCCTGACCCGAAGCTTTGGTAATGGCAGTGACCGGGGGCAGAGTGTGTGAGGGAGGGGAAGCCCACCCTGAGGTGTAAGGGGGCCAAGCCGGTCACACTGGGCTGTCCTCGCTCTGGGCTGTGCAGCGTGTATGGGCTGTTCGCAAAGGGAGTCCTGCTTCGCAGCAGTTGCAAAGCGCACCAGTCTCTTGACAGCCTCTGTTTCCCAGGCTGACCCTGGCCTCCCCATCCCTAAAGTTCTTCGGATAACTCGTAGGACTCTTAACTGCGGTTCCTCCCTCCCTTACGGATAAATGATAAATAAGGAGGAAGGCGGAGGCACCTGGCTTTGAGCGGGCGGGGGTGGGAGTGCTTATCTTGCCCAGCAGGACGGAGGCTGCCCAGGGGTTTGTATCTTTCATGCATTCATTCCAGCCAGCAGCTCAGGACCGCCCTGAACTGGATCCTGAGGGAGGAGGAGGCTGTATGTGACTAGGTGGGGGCATTCCGCGCAGGAGGAAGAATGTGGGCCAAGGGAGGCGAGTAAGGATGCGCTTTGTTCCACTCTGCGCCCAGGGTGACAACCTGGGGGGGCTCAGGTGTTCAAGGGAGTGTCTGGGCCACAGGGTCGGTCTGCCTTTGGGAGGGGGCTCGTCCGGAAGGGTTTCAGGCCCATCTGGAGAGTTGGGGTGAGAATGTGTGGTTTGGTAGGTCTTGGGGCTGCCAGGCGGGTGGCCTGGGAGCGCAGAGATGGGTCAGGAAGCTGTTGCCTCTCCTGCTGGGCAGGTGCCAGGAGCCGAAGCTGCGGTGGTCTTTTTAAGAAAAGGACTCCTGTGCTCTCTCCAGGCGAAAATGCCTGTGTCCTGTCCCCCTGCACTGTAGGGCCCGGGGCGGGGTGGGTTCTGTGAGCCTCCGCAGCTGCTCATGGCTCTTTGTGTGAAGCTGAGGTGGCCAGACCAAGCAGGTAGTGGGAGAGTGAAGAGCTGAAGCTGGTGGGTCATCCTTTCTAAAGGGGCCCGTGGGAGCCACCGAGGAGTGGGAGGCGAGGGATGGTAGGTCTTCTTTTTTCCAAGGGAAACCAGATCTAGGTAACATTTTCCTAATTTATAAAAATATGGGCAACTATCTGCTTGAATTGCTGATAACTTAGTGCTGATAATTTGAGTTTTGGGAGCTCTAAAAAGGGGCAATGTCATCCAATTCAACTTGAATAATGCATAGTTCTGCAAAAGGAAGTCGGCAGGTAGCATGAGCTCAAAAGGGCTGTCTGATATTCCACATGCTCCATGTGTTTCTTCCTCTTTGTGCCATCCCCCCTTCTCCTTGGCCCTGACACTTGCTGACCTCCTGGTCCCTCTCTCCGTTCATTGACATCTTTGGAACATTCCCACGTCTCCTCACCAAGTTCCGCTGCCCTTAGCCAGCCAACAGCCTCAGGCTTCCGGAACCTTTTTTTTTTTTTCCCCCAGAACCTCTAACTTTGGTGACCTCCCTCCCTTCTCTAGAGCCACCTCCTCCCAGGGCCACACCCTGTTTTTCCGTCCTCGGGCAGTCTTCAGTTCTGACTGCCACCTGGTCTCACTCTCTGGTTCCTCGAATCCCCTGCCCTGCAGACCCCTGACTCCGAATCAGTGCCCCAGCACCCTTTCTTGCTGTTATACTGGGGGTGGGGGGTGGGGTGATGGTCTTGACCCCCTGTGATCTTCTGGACACCACCCGTCGCCCTAAGCCTTGGTCCGTTCCCTCTTTTATTCCCTCAACAATCTTCCTGTCCCTCTGGCTCCTGCGCTTGCTTTCGACTTTGCGGAGAAAGTTGAGGTCCGCAGTTGCAGGCTGCCTGTTACCTCAGGGTGTCAAGTCCACGTCCAGAGCTGAGGACCACAGTCATTTCCCCTCCAGCCCCCAACTCCTCCACCTTCGGCTGTCCTCTTTCCACTGGCCCTTTTTCTTTGGTTATAAGGATATACAAAGCGTCTTCCATTAAAAAGAAAAGAAAAGAAACAAGGCGAGGAAGAAGCAAACCCACCCTTGTATGTCCACAAAGGCTTGCTGCATGCTCACCCTTCCCGCTTAGAGTCTCCCCTCAGCTGTCTGTCTCCCCTCATGGGACTGAGCCGACTTTTGCACAGGACCCTGGTGACGCCCAAGCCCAGCCGGTGTTTGCCAGGCCTTGGCCTCTCACTGTTAACATCCTACAGGTGGAGTCCGCTCTCTCCGAAATGCTGTACTCCCTGAATTTTGTGTGGACTCTGTGCTCCTGGTTCTCTTTCTTCAGTGTCTTTTTATTAAAGTGATGCAAGCACGTATTTAGAAAAAAAAAAAAGCAAAAAGAAGCAAAAATGAATCATACAGAGTCATAGCCTCTCCTCTTGTCCCGCCTCCCGTCCTGCTTCCCACGGGGCGACTGACTTCCACTCTTCACCACGGATTCTGGTAACTTAGGAAAGTGACAAGGTCAGGTGTTCGGAGTAGATGGACAAGGGTAAGGGGGAGGCGGTTGGTCATTTTCACTTTAGAAAGATGAGTCTAGCAGCAGTTTGCCGGATGGACTGTTGGGCCGGGTGTTGAGGACGCTCTTGAAATGGCCTTTGGGATGAGAATTCGTGACGTTGAATCAGGCCAGTGGAAGGGAAGGGAAGGGAATGAAGTGGCAATTAGGGAACAGAGGAGCTGAGATTCAGCGTTGGAAGTTACAAAGAGAGGGTAGACCTAGATGCTCCCTGAAACCCAGCTACGCGCAAGTGCTGTCTCCCGAGCCGGAACCCGGAGGCAAGAGCAGTTTTGTGGGAAATCCAGAGCTCTGTTCCGGACCTGCAGTGGTCTGGGGCCAGCTGGGAGGTGGATCCGTGACTCAGGGGAGAGGTCTGGGCTGGGGCAGAGCGCCAGGAGCCCTCGGCAGGGGGTGAGGCGTTGAGCCGTGGGTGGGACCCCGGGGAGCCCGGGTACAGCCACATGTGGAGACCTGCGGGCCTGGTGTGTTTGGCGTCTGCATGTTCAAAACGTGTAAGTTAGTAATTCATTTCAGGGTGGAAAGATTTCACATACAAATCTAGATTTCTAGCTGCTTTTGAAAATTTTGACCCCTTAGCAACTCTGGGCCTGCGTTCCCACCCAGTAGCCATCCACAGCCGAGGCTCTGTTCTCCATTCACCTGGGTCCCCCTCAGCCGCCTTGACGTGTCTGCCCGGTTTTGAGGGCATCCGAGCTGGCCCTCCCTCCCCTGGGAAGGCCGAGGCATGGGAGGCCCAGGATAGTGCAGGGAGCTCCCACTAGGGCTGGGATGGGAGAAGAACCAGAAAGCTAGGTGTGGGTCAGATCCTGGAAAGGAAAAAGGAGGAGCCGGTCCGCCTCTAGAGCAGGGTCAGGACGGAAGGCCCGGAGGTCTGCACAGTCAGGAGACGAATGAGTGTGGATTGAGCTTTCTTGACTCGGGGCAGCGCTGATGGGCGAGAGGCTCAGCGTGGTTAAATGCTAACGAGAGAGATCTGGGAGAAAGCAGGAGAGAGAGGGTGAGGGCAGCATGTCCTGGAGCAGCCAGCAGACTTAGGGTCTAGAAGCCCATCTTCATGCCCTGGGGGGTGTGGGAGACCCTGGGTAACTGAAGAGGACTTCCGGGCTGGCGGCCCACGTTCTGGGTCCCTGGCATTGCTGGTCACCCTTTTCCTTACCTCCCCTTCCCTGCCTGCTGGGCACTGTGCTGCTAGGGGTGGTCCTCGATTCCATCCAGGAGTCCCAGATGCTTGCATGGCACCTTCCTCCCTGATTTCTTCTAGACCTTAGCTCAAATGCCAGCCTGTCACCAGGCCTTCTCCTTCATCATCCTATTTAAAACTCACACACTCAGATACTTAGTCAGCCCTGTTTTCCTCCATAGCACTTATTTACCTGTTGTCATCTGTCCCCCTCCACGGGCGCAGAGGCTCCTTGAGGCTGGGGACTTTCTTGGTGCATGGCGGAATCTCCAGCACCATGTGGCAGCGCAGCAAGTTGACCGACGTGCTGGTTAAACAAGAGAATAGATTCACCTTCTGCTCCAGATGAGGAAAGCAGGGCTGGTGGGGGGGGGGGGGGGCGTTCAGTGACCCTGCCCTGGTTGTGTCTGTGTGCTCTTTATTCTTTCTGGCTCAGAGACAGCGGAAAGGATTTTGTGTCAACCCAAGAACAGGTCACTGGTGAAGGGGCTCAGAATGACTTTCTAGTATTAACATGTCATTAATAGGGGAGCTTGGGTGGCTCAGTCGGTTAAGCATCTGCCTTTGGCTCAGGTCATGACCCCGGGGTCCTGGGATCGAGCCCCGCATTGGGCTCCTTGCTCAATGGAGAGCCTGCTTCTTCCTCTCCCTCTGCTGCTCCCCCTGCTTGTTCTGTCTCGCTCTCAAATAAATAAATAAATTCTTAAAAAAAAAAAGATTATTTATTGACAGAGAGAGAGAGCATGCGCACGAGTGGATGGGAGCAGGGGGAAGGGCAGAGGGAGAGGGAGAATCTCAAGCAGACTCTGCATTGAGCACGGAGCCCAACGTGGGGCTCGATCTCACCATCCTGAGATCATGACCTGAGCCGAAACCAAGAGTCAGACACTTAACCGACTGAGCCACCCAGGCGCCCCGCGTGTCATTAACATTTTGCTGGCAAGGACGGTGTTGGTGAGCCCTGACTCTGTGCTGGGTACTGTCCTTACCTCTTTGAATCCTCACACAACCCCGAGCACAAAACCCAGGATACCCACTGTTAGTAACTGAGCGGCGGAGGCCTTGGCAAGTTCGTTCGCCCAAGGTCAGGCAGCGTCCGCACAGTCCTGGTGCTAACCTCGGCTCTCTCCTGCCTCTCCCCTTAGGCATCTGCATCCAGTGTGGGCTTGGCATCTACGGAGCAAGGCAGGCGTGCCAGGCCATGGGGAGCCTTTACCACACAGATTGCTTCACCTGCGACTCCTGTGGTAGGTCACCTCTTCCTTGGCCCTCTTGCGCCACGGACCCCCTTGCACCTAAGTCCCAAGCAGATGGGCCACCCAGCTCTGGCCCAGGTGGAGAGTGGAGGAGGCTGAGTTGTAGCCCCTTTCCTTCCGGGCCTGGACTGTTTGGGAGGCCCAGGCCCCTGGGGGGTCTGCTGGGCCCCAGGGAGGGAGGTGTGGAACCAGGGAGCAGAGGCTCCTGGCCATAGGGAAAGGCTGCCCCTGGGGCTCTCGGCGCTGGGGCGTCCGTCCTGTGCAGGCTGCTGATGTCTCCTGGCTGCCTGGGTGTGGGGCTGATACTTCTTTTCCTTGCAATTTACGTTTTCTCCCAATTTGACACACAGTATAAACTATAAATGTTATACTGTAACTAGACAAAGTTCTAAAAAGAAAAAAGTAGCTGTTACCCAATCAGCCTAATAAATCTACACTCTTAATTCTACTACCGTTCCTTCAGGCTTTGTCCCCAAGCAAATGTCTTTCATTTATTTACACTAAGCATTTTATTTTATTTTAAAGATTTTATTTATTTATTTGAGAGAGAGAGAATGAGAGACAGAGAGCATGAGAGGGAGGAGGGTCAGAGGGAGAAGCAGACTCCCTGCCGAGCAGGGAGCCCGATGCGGGACTCGATCCTGTGACTCCAGGATCATGACCTGAGCCGAAGGCAGTCGCTTAACCAACTGAGCCACCCAGGCGCCCTACACTAAGCATTTTAATGTTTTATTTTATAGAAGTGTAATTCGTGCACAGTGTTAAGTCAGGTAGTCCCGAGAAGCTATTTTTGCAATAGCAAAAAACCGCTCATCTTTCCACTCCTGGTCCCATTCCCCAGCGGCAACCACTTGGTATTTTTTTAGCAATTTCTAGAATCTAGTAGACACCTTCGTATCTGTAACATGCATATACTGCTCTTTTTTCTTTTCTTTTAAGATTTTATTTATTTATTTATTTATTTATTTATTTATTTATTTATTTAACGCAAGCAGGGATGTGTCACTTCTGGCCTTACTTTTGTTATGACAGATGAGGAACAGGTTCTTATACTGCCCGTTTCTCTTCCTTCCGTTTTCTCAGTGTACTCCCATCATAAATTGCAGTTAAGTCAGTCAACAAGGTTTATGTTACTTTGACTATTTAAAAATTCACTGCAGAGCCAAGAATTATACTGTGATTACATCCCCCCCACCTTTTTTTTCCCCCTTATAGTCTTTTACTTTTCCTGGAGTTTTTTCTTCCTTTTTTAAATATTTTTTCCCCCTTGTATTGGCTTGTTTCATCATTATCTTCACTCCCCTCCCCACCCCCCGAGACTCCATTATATAAGGCTTCCTACTGAATTTCCATTGGAAGCCTCGTCAGTCTGAGTTGGTTGTCCTCTGGACCCCTGTGGAGTGCCCATTCTGTGTCTTCCCATGTATACTCCATGAATTGAACCCACTATTTCCTGGAAGCTTTTATTTATTTATTTATTTTTAAAGATTTTATTTATTTATTTGAGACAGAGAATGAGAGAGACAGAGAGCACATGAGAGGGGGGAGGGTCAGAGGGAGAAGCAGGCTCCCCGCCGAGCAGGGAGCCCGATGCGGGACTCGATCCAGGGACTCCAGGATCATGACCTGAGCCGAAGGCAGTCGTTTAACCAACTGAGCCACCCAGGCGCCCTCTTGGAAGCTTTTAGCTGGGCATGACAGAGAAGCTGCTGAGGAGGCTTAAACTTGGAAAATATTTTTTGGCTTAATGAACTGGGAGCCCAGAGATAGGGCTGGCTTCAGGTTGGGATTGATCTAGTGCCTCAGGCCCTATGAGTAGCTTGGCTGGGTTTCCCTTGGGTTTGGCTTTTTCCTTAGGGCAACTTCTCTTATGGTGGTGAAATGTCTGAGACTTCTGTGATACCCCACTAGTCTGGAGGAAGAGGGGGCATCTCTTCTAGTTATGTTTTTAGAAACTTCTTTCCCAGAAAGCACCTAGCAAATATCTTTTTGTATGTCATTGGCCAGAGCATCTCACACATCCATTCCTGAACCAGTTTCTTGAATGGTGGGGAGAGCTATGATTGACTGACTTGCCTGAGTCTCTGAATAATACCGTAATAAGGGAAGAGGAGTTACCTTTATACTAGTCAAGCCCATCCATGGATAATGGGAGTGGATTCAGGTTTCCCTTGAATGAACCAGGTTGTCTGAGGTAAGATTGGATACTGAACAACTTGGAGGAGAAGGAAGGAATCAAAGCTGTGAAGCACTGCCTACAAGATTTTGCTATCGTTCTCTTAGAAAGGGCACATGGGAGGTCAGTGTTCTGAATTCTGCTATGTCTGAAATGCCTTTATTCTACCCTCATACTAGATTTGGAATGGATTTCTAAATTTGAAACAATTTTCACTCAACCTTTTATTTTTTAGAGATTTTATTTTTAAGTAATCTCTACATCCAACATGGGGCTTGAGCCTACAACCCTGAGATTAAGAGTCCTACTCCCCGAGGGCTAAGCCAGCCAGGCACCCCTCCCTCAGCATTTTGAAGTCATGGTTTCATCTTCCAGCAGCCACTGTCGCGGCTACGTTCTGATGCCATCCTGATTCGCGTTTGTGTGTGATCCAGGTTTTCCTTTGGGGAACTCTTGGGAGGAGGACTGCCATGTTGCACAAATCCTGGCTATAATGGCGTCTGGAAATGGCCGTGTTCTGCACACGGTGGCGCCATTTACGTAGATCTAACGCAGTGGTGCTTCTGACGTCGTACAATACAGAAGCCTGACTTAGGATATCTTATTGTGTTTGGTGTAGGCTTTTAGCCATTGTGGGTGCCCTGGGCACACACGGAGCCCTCTTGGACTGGAGACTTGCCCCCTCAGTTCTGGGATTTTTTTTTTTTTCTTTGGTACTATTTATTTTATTCCCATCTTTTTTTCCTCCGGAGCTGAATTCACCAGTGTTTAATCAAGATAATGCATTCTGTCCAAGTTGAGTTTATTTGAAGAATCCTAGGGTGGATTCACATTAAAAAATTCATTAATGTAGGCGTGCCTGGCTGGCTCAGTCAATAGAGCATGCGACTCTTTTTTTTTTTTTTTTAAGATTTCATTTATGTATTTGAGAGAGAGAGCTAGTGAGAGAGAGCATGAACAGGGGGGAGGGAAAGGGAGAAGCAGACTCCCCATTGAGCAGGGAGCCCAATGCAGGGTTTGATCCCAAGGCCCTGGGATCATGACCTGAGCTGAAGGCAGAGGCTTAAATGACTGAGCCTGGACCCAGGTGCCCCTGAAGATTCAGGTCTTTTATCAATTTGGGGAAGATCTCAGCTATTTCATTTTCAAAAGTTGCTTCTCTCCCATTCTATTATTTATTTCTAGAATTCAAATTAGGAGTATTAGACTTTCTCATTCTTTTGTGTCTTTTTTTTTTTTAAGATTTTTTTTTTTTTTAAGATTTTATTTATTTATTCATGAGAGACAGAGAGAGAGAGAGAGAGGCAGAGGGAGAAGCAGGCTCCCAAGGAGCAGAGAGCCTGATGCGGGACTCGATCCCAGGACCCTGGGATCATGACCTGAGCCGAAGGCAGACGCTTAACCATCTGAGCCATCCAGGCGCCCTTTTTTTTTTTTTAAAGATTGTATTTATTTATTTGAAAGAGAGAGAATAAGCGGAGAGGGGGAGGGGTTGGGCAGAGGGAAAGGGAGAAGCGGGCTCCCTGCTCAGAGCCAGATGTGGGACTCCATCCCAGGACCCTGGGATCATGACCTGAGCTTAACCAACTGAGCCACCCAGGTGCCCCTCTATTGTGTCTCTTAATCTCTTCCTCTCATATTATCCATTTCTCTGTCTCCCATTCTGTTTAATTTCCTCAGATCTGTCTTCCAGAAACTAGGATCCAGATCATTCATTTTCTTCTCTTCAGCTGTGTTTAATCTCCTATTGAACTCTTTCATTGAGTTTTTCATTTCATTGATTGGATTTTTTTTTTTTTCTAGAAGTTCTCTTTGGTCCTTTTTTCAAATCTGCCTCAACATTTTTGATAGTGTCTTGCTTTTTATCAAGATTGGAAATATATGAAGAGTGTAAAACATACTAATCTTGAGTGTATTACAGCTTGATACATTTGTACCTGTCTATGTGCCCATGTGATCACCATTCAGATCAAGGTATAGAACATTTCCATCACCCCAGAAGATTACCTTATGTCCCTTCCAGTCATCAGTACATGACTTTTAAGCTGTACTGATGATCACCATAATTTGGTGATTATAAATAAAACTGTTGTATTGTGTCTATGTCGCCTGACAGATCTTTATACTTATTTTTCTTTCTTTTTTTTTAAATATTTTATTTATTTTATTTATTTTTTTAAAGATTTTTTATTTATTTATTTTGACAGAGACAGTGAGAGAGGGAACACAAGCAGGGGGAGTGGGAGAGGGAGAAGCAGGCTTCCCACCGAGCAGGGAGCCCAACGCGGGGCTCGATCCCAGGACCCTGGGATCATGACCTGAGCCGAAGGCAGACACTTAACGACTGAGCCACCCAGGTGCCCCTATTAGTGAGATTTTAATGGGAATTTCTCTGATGAGTAGTGGAGACTCATATACCTTTTTATGTCTGTTGGCCATTTGAATGCCTTTGTTTGTAAAATGAAGTCTTTTGCCCATTTCTAAATTGGGTTGTTTGACTTTTATTGATTTCTAGGAGTTCTGTATGCATCTTGGATACCGAGTTCTGTGTTGGATATATGTGTTGTAAATTCTTTTCCTAACCTATTCTTGCTTCATTACCTTCTTAATGATGTCTTCTGATGAAGAGAAATTCTTAGTGAAGTCCAATTTATCTTTGTTTTCAGTTACCGCTTTTAACGTCCTGTCCAAGAAATCTTTGTAGTCTCAGGTTTTGGACATCTGTTTTTATTTTGTAAGCATATTAAATACTCGTATTCTGTATCCAATAATCCTAATATCTAATGTCTTTGAAGTCCTACTTCAATTGTTTATTGTTTCTCCTCACTCTTGGCCATGATACCTTATTTCTTCACATGTTTTCATCATTTTTGATTGTGGAGGTCTGTCTGTGGGAATTGGGTGAGGTCTGTGTAGAGGGGGATTTTCCCAGGGCGTATTTTCAAACTTCAGTAAGAAAAGTTTTAAACTTGAATGGGGGCAAAATTGTTTTTCTCTTATGAGTATTTTGACTCATGGACTTTTTTTCATGACATGTTTTGCAGTACAGTCCTTACTCTTTTTGATGCACAAATTTGGCCAGAGGAGGTCCTTTTGGGTTGGTCCCTGTGCCCTTTTGGCAAGTCTCCATCGGTCTTCGAGCACTTCTTTACTGTGGCACAAAATGTTTCAAGTTTATCTTTGTGTGTGTGTGTAACTGAGTTCAATTTACAGATGGTACAGCAAACAGATCTTAAGTATGTAGTTCAAAGACTTTGGATACATGTATATGTTTACGTATCTCATACCCCTAACAAGGATACAGAAAAATTTAAACACCCTAGGAACTCTAATCTTGCCCTTTTTTAGTTGATGCCCAGTATTTCCCATCACATCTGCCCAATCAGTGTTCTGATTTCTACCACCATAGATTAGTTTTGTCTCTCCTAGAACTTAATATAAATGAAGTCATAGATTATATGCTATTTTGTGGCTGATTTTTTTTTTTTTTTTTGCTAAACATGTTATTTTTTTTAAGTCCCTGTGTCTTTTTTAAATGATTTTATTTATTTATTTATTTATTTTAAAAACTTTTATTTATTTATTTGACACAGAGAGAGAGAGCACAAGTAGGGGCAGTGGGAGAGGGAGAAGCAGGCTCCCCGCCAAGCAGGGAGCCTGATGCGGGGCTCGATCCCAGGACCCTGGGATCATGACCCGAGCCAAAGGCAGACGCTTAATGACTGAGCCACCCAGGCACTCCTACAGATTTTATTTTTAAGTAATCTCTACACCCAACGTGGGGCTCACGCTTAGCCCCAAGATCAAGAGTCGCCAGCTAGGCGCCCCTAATCCACATATTATTAGTAGCTCACTCCTTTTTATTGGCCGAGTAGGATTTTATTGTATGAATCTACCACAAGTTGTGGTAGATTCACACACTGATAGATTGTGCTGTGAACATTCTCGTATAGGTCATTTGTGGACAAATGTTTTCATTTCTCTCTTGGGTAAATTCCAAGGAGTGGAATTTCTGGGTCATAGGCTAAGTGTATGTTTAACTTCGTAAGAGATTGCCATACTTTTCCAAAGGGGTTGTGCCATTTTCATACTCCCACTAGAAATGTTAGGGATGTATTATTCTACATGTTTGCCAATAATTGGCGTTTTCGTCTTTTTAATTTTAGCCATTCTAATGGATGTGAAGTGGTATCTTGTGGTTTTAATTTGCATTTCCCTGATGACTAATAAGGTTGAGCTGCTTTTTGTCTGCTTCTTGGCCATTTATATCTTCTTTTATGAAGTCTGTTCAGGTCTTTGGCTCAGCTTTTGAATTGAGAGTTACTTTAAAAGTCTTTTATTATTTAGTTGTAGGAATATATATATTCTGAGTACAAGTCCTTTTCAGATGTATGTTTTGTGAATATTTTCTCATAGTACTTTTTTTTTTTAAGTGGGTTCCAAGCCCAGCATGGAGCCCAGTGGGCTTGAACTCATGACCCTGAGATCAAGACCTGAGCTGAGATTAACAGTCGGACACAACTGACTGAGCCACCCAGGCACCCCTAGTTTCTTCTTTCTTTCTTTCTTTCTTTCTTTCTTTCTTTCTTTCTTTCTTTCTTTCTTTCTTTCTTTCTTTCTTTCTTCTTTCTTTCTTTCTCTCTTTCTCTCTTTCTCTCTTTCTCTCTCTCTTTCTCTCTCTCTCTCTCTCTCTCTTTCTCTCTCTTTCTCTCTTTCTTTCTTTCTTTCTTTCTTTCTTTCTTTCTTTCTTTCTTTCTTTCTAAGATTTTATTTATTTATTTGACAGAGAGAGACAGCGAGAGAGGGAACACAAGCAGGGGGAGTGGGAGAGGGAGAAGCAGGCTTCCCGCGGGGCAGGGAGCCCGATGCGGGGCTCGATCCCAGGACCCTGGGATCATGACCTGAGCCGAAGGCAGACGCTTAATGACTGAGCCACCCAGGCATCCCGCCCCTATTTTCTTATAGATAATTTAAAAATATATTTAATGATATCTGTATCTATCTATATATTTTTAAGTTTATTTTTTTTAGTAATCTCTATACCTAATATGGGGCTTGAACTCACAACCCGGAGATCAAAAGTCACATGCTCCACTGACTGAGCCAGCCAGGTGCCTCTTAGATTTCTCATTTTTATGTTTAGGTTGATAACCCACTTCATATTATTCTTTTTTTTAAAGATTTTATTTATTCATTTGAGCGCAAGAGTGTGAGAGAGAGAGCACGAGCTGGGAGGGGGGATGTGGCAGAGGGAGAGGGACAAGCAGACTCCCCGCTGAGCAGGGAGCCCGACATGGGGCTCATTCTCAGGACCCCGAGATCATGACCTGAGCCAAAGTCAGACGCATAACCGACTGAGCCACCCAGGCGCCCCTCATAATATACTTTTGTGTATAGTGTGAGGTGAGGAATTGAGTTTCATTTTTGTTCCGTATTTCTTTTTTTTTTTAATTTTTTTATTCTTATGTTAATCCCCATACATTACATCATTAGTTTTAGATGAAGTGTTCCATGATTCATTGTTTGTGCATAACACCCAGTGCTCCATGCAGAACGTGCCCTCCTCAATACCCACCACCAGGCTAACCCATCCTCCCACCCCCCTCCCCTCTAGAACCCTGTTTGTTTTTCAGAGTCCATCATCTCTCATGGTTCGTCTACCCCTCCGATTTCCCCCGCTTCATTCTTCCCCTCCCGCTACCTTCTTCTTCTTCTTTTTTTTTTTTCTTAACATATATTGCATTATTTGTTTCAGAGGTACAGATCTGAGATTCAACAGTCTTGCACAATTCACAGCGCTTACCAGAGCACATACCCTCCCCAGTGTCCATCACCCAGTCCGTATTTCTTTTTTTTTCTCCACTTGTCACAGCACCATGTGCTGAAAAGAGTTTGCTTTCCCACTTGTGTGTTTATTGAAATATTTATGGGCCTATTTTTGCACTCTCTTCTGTTTCACTGATCTTTCTGTCTTTCCTTACCCCAGTGTTACACGGTCTTGATTACTTGAAGTCTTCAGATAGGTAGTGTAAGTCTTCCAGCGTTGTTGATCTTTTGCAAGATTATTTGGCTATTCTAGGTTCTTTGTATTTTTATATAAATTTTAGAATTGGAAGTCAGCCCTCAACACAAGGGTTTGAAAGAAGACAAAACAAACAAATTAGAATTGGCATGTCAGTTTCCACAAAAAAAATAAGAATGCTGGGATCTTAATTGCGTGGCATTGAAGTCTAGATCAATTTGGGGAGAATTGACATCAGGATGTTTGAAGCCATGAAGATGATTGTCAAGGACTGAGATTTTTCTCCCTACTTGTAAGCTGACAGGTTTATCTGCCACTGTTCCGCTGATGCTGACTGAAGACATGAGCCCCCTGGGGCAGAGCCTTATAGCCCTGCAGACAGGATGAGCTTCACCTCTGAATCATGCTGCATGCCCTCGAGTCCCGCAGGGGTGATGCAGAGGGGCCCCGGTGGATGCTGCACATGTAGTCGGTCTAGGGAACCCTGAACTGAGGGAACCCTGATGTTTTATAATGGGCAGTCAGCAAAGCTCTCTGACCCTTGTTTCTGAGGAACACATTATCTGTATTATAATGGACAGCAGACAAAACCTGCTTTCTACTTCAGAGGGAGATAAGCTAGCTCTGTCTTCTAAGCAGTATGTTTCACAAATGTCCTCAGGGAGGTAATTCAGAACAAACGCTGCCGGTCCTCGGTAAGATGGGCAGAAATGTGAGAGTCTCAGCAGAGAGCGGTCTTCCAGCAGTATAGCGCTCTCTTTACGGAGGTCTTTTGAAATTTCTCTCAGCCAAGTCTGGTTTGGCAGGGTGAGGGTCACACACGTCTTTTATTAAATTTATCCCTCAGAATTTTGCAGGGCTTTTGGGATGCTATTAGGAATGCAATTTTAAAAATTCCAAGTTCATTTTCCCACCATTTGTTATTGCAATATACAAAGATACTTGGTTTTCACCTTCTGACCACCTATCCTAGAACCCTGATAAACTCAATTATTAGTTCTTTTTTTTTTTAATTTTTAAATAGATTTTATTTATATATTTGACAGAGAGAGACACAGCAAGAGAGGGAACACAAGCAGGGGGAGTGGGAGAGGAAGAAGCAGGCTTCCTGACGAGCAGGGATCCCGATGTGGGGCTCGATCCCAGGACCCTGGGATCATGACCCGAGCCGAAGGCAGACGCTTAACGACTGAGCCACCCAGGCGCCCCTCATTTATTAGTTCTAGTAGGGTTTTTTTTTTAAGATTTTATTTATTTACTTGAGAGAGAGCGCACTAGAGAAAGTAAGCATGAGTAGGAGTAAGAGGGAGCGGGAGAAGCAGGCTCCCCGCTGAGCAGGGATCCTGATGCGGGGCTCGATCCCAGGACCCGGGATCATGACCTGAGCTGAAGGCAGATGCTTGACCGACTGAGCCACCCAGGCACCCCGTGTTCTGTTTAATTAAAAAAAAAAAATTATTATTAGCACAGCAATAACCTAGTATTAAAGGGAAATGTTAAAATTTGCCCATGATCTGCTTCTCATCTGTTGGAGGCAAGTTCTGAGAAATGGAAACAGGGGCCCCATCCCTGGGTTCCAGTGGCCAACGGACCCCCTTCTCGATCCTCGTCCTTGCAGGCAGACGACTTCGAGGGAAGGCGTTCTACAACGTGGGTGAGAAAGTCTACTGCCAGGAGGACTTCCTGGTGAGTCAGAGCTGGGTGCCCGGCCGGCGCCATGGGTGGGAGCAGGGGAGGCAACCCTCCTGCTTCACATGGAGGCCTGGGGCCAGGAGGCAGGTGCCGGCTGGGCAGCCAGGGTCCCTTTGTCACATGACCTTCCGGATCCTCTGTCCCCTCTCAGTACTCCGGGTTCCAGCAAACAGCTGACAAGTGTAGCGTGTGTGGACACCTCATCATGGAGATGGTGAGAACCTCCCCCAGACTCCTGGAGCCCCTCTGCCACGGGTGGTCTTAGGACCCACCCTTTCACCTGTTGCAGACCTGCCAAGGGCTCAGAACCAGAGCCTCTTCCGGGGGCTGTGCTGAGCCTTCCATCTGCACTGACCCTTCAGTGCCTCCCACCCCCAGATCCTGCAGGCCCTTGGGAAGTCCTACCACCCAGGCTGTTTCCGGTGCTCAGTGTGCAACGAGTGCCTGGACGGGGTGCCCTTCACCGTGGACGTGGAGAACAACATCTACTGCGTCAGAGACTATCACACGTGAGTAGCCAGCATGGGGGCGGGGGGGGGCAGGTGGGACTCCTGCCGTGTCTCCTGCCTCCCCCGGAAGCAGTTTTCCAACTGGCCTGTCTGTCTTCTCTCCATTCTTGGCCTTGCCACTTCTAGCCTCCCCTGGTGTGGGGGCAAGGCATGGATCTCTGCCTTGAGCCCTCTCTTGCATGATTCAGCCACCAGCCGTCTCTTTCCTCTCCTTGCCTTTGCCTGCACGTTCCCCCTCCTAGTAGGGGCGGGAGGACTCGCCTGGCTGCCCCACCCACATCTGCCTCTCTGCTCCCAGTGGCAGGCTAGGCCTCTTCCGCCTGGGGTGGGGTTTTGGGGTCTCTACGGCCATCCTTTCCCTGCCTGTCTGGTATCGCTGTGATGAGCAGCCAATCCTTTCTCCCCTGCTGGGGCTCCAGGCCTGGCCCTCTGAGCTCTGGTCCCGTGCTACTGCCTTGCATGGGGTGGGTGCCCTGCACAGATCCCTGGAACTCTGTGTGCAGCCAGGCTTTGCAGGGGTCTCAGCGAGGGGAGGCCCAAACCTGGACATTAGGGGATAGGGAACTCACAGGGAGTGTGAGGGAGAGGGGAGGGAGAACCTGAAGCCATCCTGGAGGAGGTGATGGGGTGGATGTGAATTGGGGAGCCAGATAAAAGGCCAAGAAGGCACCACAGAGGCGGCGCCCAGCCCAGTGTGTCCACACAAGGAAAGGGGTCCTGATGCTTGGGCCATGTCAAGGGGCTACTGTGGGTGGGTCTGCCTTGCCGCCCTTGGCCTCTCGCCACTCAGCTGGTCACTTCTGGTTTCCTTTATTCCTCCAGGGTTTTTGCACCAAAATGTGCCTCCTGTGCCCGTCCTATCCTCCCTGCACAGGTAGGAACCACTCACTGGGAGATGATCAGGTGCCTGGCCCAGCCCGGCCTCGGCCTGCTTTTACTCAGGTTGGCCCCAGGTCTTGGGAGGGATGAGCAGATGCTCCTGTCCCATATCCCTCAGGCCCATAAGTGCCCACAAGTCCCTGCATGAGTTAGAAATGGTGGCCCTCAGCTTCATTGCCCATGGACAGAAGGATCACTCCCAGGGTCTGTCAGCGGTGCAGGGTGAGGTGGTAGGGGGAGCAGGCGAGGGAAGGATGCAGTCCGGGCAGGAGACATCCTCGGGTGGGGCGGCTCTCGGCATCGGATAAGGCCTCAGGATAAGTCCACACGCCTCAGCTGGTATAGCCTTATGTCCCCAGCTCCTGCCAACTTCCCGTGACTCAAAACAACACAGTCACCTTCGCATCTAAGCACATTCTGCTTCCACTGCCTAGAACTGCCTTTGTTATGGCCTCCTTGGGTAACTCATTCATTTTGCAAATCTTAGCTCGGGTGTCACTTTCTCCAGAAAGCCTTCCCTGATTCTCCAAGGCCTCCTATGTACCCTGGGGAAGCAGGCCTGGCCGTGGTCTTTCCTGACTGCAAAGAACAGAACAGAACGTGTGTACACACATTGACACCCACGTGACCGCTCTCGCGGATGCGTGTGCGTGCTGTCGTGAGGCGTAGCTGCGGGAGGATGTCCGGGCATGTGTCCCGCCCATGGAAGCAGCAAAGTGGGCGTGAATGCACGTCTGCCGTGCCAAGACCGTGTTGTGTAGGTGTGTGCGCCTGAAACCCCAGTGTGCTGATTGTGTGCAAACCCCATCTCATCCTCCAGGGCTGTGAGACCACCATCCGTGTGGTGTCCATGGACAGAGACTACCACGTGGAGTGTTACCACTGTGAGGTGAGCCTGGGGCCCCCGGGAATGCTGGTGGCCAGGGCAGCCCCCCTCCACCTGGAACTCCTTTTCTCTGTGTTCTGTGGGCCCACCTCCTCCTTTATGATTCTGCCCCATTCGCCCCGCCCTCCCCAGGGAGCCCTCTCCCTTCTCCCCAAGATATGTTCTCAGCCCCTATTTCCCATTCAGTCACCTATTTATTGAGGATTTACAGTGTGTGGGGTGCTGGGGGTGTACAGAGAATAAAAATAAGGAGTCCCCCCTCTTATGGCAGCGATGAGTGCTCGCGCAGTATCCGTATAGGGTCACCATTGCTATCAAGGGTGACTTGTCAGGGTACATAGGAGGCCTTGGAGAATCAGGGAAGGCTTTCTGGAGAAAGTGACACCCGAGCTAAGATTTGCAAAATGAATGAGTTACCCAAGGGGGCCATAAGAAAGGCAGTTCTAGGCAGTGGAAGCAGAATGTGCTTAGGTGCGAAGGTGACTGTGTTGTTTTGAGTCACGAGAAGTTGGCAGGAGCTGGGGACATAAGGCTAAACCAGCTGAGGCGTGTGGACTTATCCTGAGGATGGTGGAGAATGATCGTGAAGGGTGACACGATGGCATGACCATTTTTGGAAAGGGTGCTCTTTGCCATGCAGAGAATGAATAGAGGAAGAGGGCATGGGGCTGGGGTTCCCTGAGGAGGCCGGTGGAGTCAAGGTTGTGGTCTTGGGTTCAGGGTAGAACACTGAGTTGTGTGATGGTCAGGTAGTTAAAAGGGACTGGACTTGGGCCATGACTGGACGGGGCAGTTTGGGGGTTAGGAGTTGTCCATTAGGGCTCCAGAAGAGAGTGAGGGCGAGAGGTGGAAGGGAGAAAGGCTCTAATTTGGGACACTGGGGACATCTGGGTGGAGATGTCCTTGGGGCAGCTAGACATGCTGTCTCAAAGACTCTGTCCTTGGGGCAGCTAGACGTGCTGGAATTCAAAGACTCTGGCTGCAAGTGTAGGAATTTGGGAGTCGTGGACACACATAGCTCTCTCCTCTCTGATACTCTGCCCTGTGGTTTCTCATTGCCTTGGCCTCCCCAGATTCTCAATGCAGGGAGAACAGTGGGCCCTCTTTGGGCAGCCTGGACAGTCTCTTCAGGTAGTAAGTTGGGGCAGTTGTAGGGCTCACCTCACGAATCTCCCTTCTCTCAGAGATCACTGACCTGCCTTGTCTGTCGTCCGGGGTCTGAGAACTAGTGTTTCATATCTTTTACCTGGTTTTTCATTGTTAAAGGTAGGATGGGAGATTCAGTCCTTGTTACTGTCATGGCTGGACACCGAGTCTCATCATGAACATGTAGGTGAAGCCAGGGGAGTGAATGAAGTCTTCCAGAGAGAGCTGTGGGGGCAGGAGCGGGGGCTCAGGATAGCCCAAGGAACACCAATGTTTAGGGGGTGCATGGAGGCAAAGCAACCATACGGGGAGGCCGAGAATGAGTGAACGGAGGTAGGAGAGAAACTGAGAAAAGCACGTTGGGTTTAGGGCCCCAGTGAAAAGCGGTGTCCATGAGAAATCTTCAGTAGCAGTCAAGGGTCTATTTGGAACCAGGTGGCCTCAGGTGGGGCAGGTGGCCCAGTGGGAACTGGGATCCTGCTGGGGGACCAGGGAAGGAGGAACAGAAGCCAGCATGGCCTACAGAAGGGCCACAGTGTCCCCTCTGATGTAACAGAGCATCCTGTCTGCTTCCTGGGGACGACTGCTAAGCACAGGGAAGGTTGATGCTGAGAGCCAACGAACAAGGTGAGCTTCAGGTGATGCACAGCCAGAGCCTCGGGGCTGCTGTCCCCAGGGAGACCCTTGGCCAGGAGTGAGGGTCTCCAGGCCCTTTTGCTCGGCCCCTCTCTGGAGCGTGGTGGTTAGTGGTGGGGCCCGGTCAGGGTCCGGTGGCAGGACAGGGACATTCCTGGAATGTGACTTGTGTGGAGCGGGGCAGGTGTTGGTCTCAGGGCCTTGGGGAACAAATGTCAAAGCAGGTTAGCTCTGGATGTGGTGAGAGTGTGACCAAAGGGGTCTCCTTGGGCTGGGGCGCAGAGGAAGGAAGAAGCTGGGCAGTTGGCCTTGCCCCAGTCCTGACAGTGCACCCTCCATGCTGCCCTTCCCGCTTCTTGCCAGTCATTTACTGAGGTCCAGTAAGAATCTCACCACTTGTTAACACAGAGACAATTAGCCTATAAAGTATATTGCAGTGGGAAAACGGTAAGGTACAGGACAGAAAACACAACTCCTTGTTTACTGATCTCTCCCGATTTTTCTCCTCCATCTCTTAAGGTGCTGGGGTCAGGTATCTGACCTACCCACCTCCCCCAGTCACCAGTGACCCTTGTGTGGTAGGATCCAGGAGACACTTCTCAGTTGTCACTGTCCTGACCTCTCGGTGGCTTTCTGCACGCTGACCCTCCCTCCGTGACTCTCTTCACTGTTTCTTTAGGACCATCCATTTTTGGTTTTCCTAATTTTTATTTTCCCCTCAAATCCCTCTGGCTCAGGTCTTCCTCTACTTTCCGCTTCATGTGGGAGCCTCTGCGGCTTAGCTGTGGGTCCACTTCTCTTTTCTAGTTATCTGCACTCCCCGGGGAGACATAACCTGTTGTTTGTTGTTTGTTGAGATTTTATTTATTGCAGAGAGAAAGAGTGAGCAGGGGGAGGAGCAGAGGGAGAGGGACAGGCAGACTCCCCGCTGAGCGGGAGCCACACGCGGGGCTCCATCTCACCACCCTGAGATCATGACCTCAGCCAAAATCAAGAGTCGGAGGCTCAACTGACTGAGCCACTCCAGCGCCCTAATCGGTTGTTGTTAAAAGCCATCACACTTCTGGGCTGATGCCCCCGTGGACTGCCCAGCCCTCCTGCAGATTCCAGCAGCTTCCAGGCTGGTGTCCGGCTATTTGGGAGTCTAAGGGGCAGCTCCGGTTGACCGTGGCCGACCCTGGGCTCCAGATCCCCCGCCCCCAAAGCCCAAGTCCTTCGGAAGTTGCGCGGGGCGGGGCGGGGCGGGGCGGGGCGGAGATCCGCCACACCCCATTACTCTCCTGTGCCCCCCTCGCTGACTGTGGGGTTGGGGCTGTGTTCTTCCCTAGGACTGCGGGCTGCAGCTGAGCGGGGAGGACGGACGCCGCTGCTACCCCCTGGAGGGCCACCTGCTGTGCCGCCGCTGCCACCTGCGGCGCCTCCGGCCCGGCCCCCTTCCCTCACCTGCCGTGCACGTCACGGAGCTCTGAGCGCCGGAGGGGAGCCCCGCTGGGGCCGCGCGTGCGCGCGCGTGCGTGCGCGTGCGCGCGCGTGCGTGCGCGTGCGAGAGAGCGCGCCCGGGCGGGATGGGTGACCAGGTCAGTGTCGCAGCTCCGTGTCCCGGGGGCGCGGCTGCCCCGCTTCCCCCCCCCCCACATGCCACCGAGCTGTCGTCCAAGGGGCCGGCCCCGGGGCGGAGCTGCTTCTATTTATTCACCGTCTGTGCCTCCTCCCGCCGCTTCCTTCCTTCCCGGCCCTGCCTGGCCCCCCCCCCCCCCGCCCCACGCCGGCCTTCCGTTCCCGGGCCCCTGCGCCCCGCGGCCTCGGGCCGGCTCCCAGACCGCGTGCAGGGGCGCGGGGTGCAGGGCCGCCTTCCCCCTTCCTCCCACTGGCCCCCCGTTTCCCGGTTCAGAAGGGGCCCCGTCTCAGACCTCTCCTGGGGGGGCGGGGGTGGTCTGGCAGGCGGGGGTTGGCGGAGGGCACGCGTGTTTGCGTGTCTCCTAAGAGCCTTTGGTGGGTGGGAAGGGTGTCCTGTGCGGGTGGGGTCACAGGAGGGAGTGAAGAATGACACCCTTAGGGAGCGGGGGCCTGCCAAGGAGCCCTGCCTTTGGCCACAGTGGGATTTGGTCACCGGGATTCTGATGGGTGTTTTCGGCCACCATCCCGCCCGGGTCTCCCCAAACCTGGCTCCTGGCCTGGGGACCACCCCTCCCTCCGGCCGCCTCCGCTCGCCATCCTTCAGCCTTGGGAAAAGAACCTTCTCACGCAAATTCCAGCCACAGGGCTCTCGGTCAAGAGAGACCACGAGGGGGCGCCCTGTCCGCGTGGCAGGGCGAACACCTGTTGCAGGAACGCTCTGTGTATCAGGCTCCACGACAAAAGCGTATGATTTGACTTAAATTAAGTTTGTCCTTTGAGAATATTTTCATTTTCTTTAAGAGAATATAGTTTTCTTCTAAAAACTTGGCCCACGGTTGTTATTTCTTAGACAAATTACATGGAACTCACAAATGTCCTATTGGGAGATCATATAGTTAGTTTTCAGGCAGTAAAAACGTTGTATTTTAACTATTTTTGTATAAATCCCTGTAAAATCTCAAAATATGTGTTTGCTTTTCAGACTTCGGAATAATGTGGGGTTTTGTGTCCGTGTCTGAAGAGCAGTGACCTAATGAAATGTGGTTTGGGAAACGCAGATTAATTTTCTTTCCTGTTGTCCCACATCAGTGCACATCAGCATTGGGAAGCTGGGACGTCTCAGCGATGGCTTATGTTGGATTTGTACCCGTGGGTGGCCCCTGCGGCAAGAGACCCCTAATCATGATAACCCATCAGTGGGATATTTTGACTTAAGTCCATTTGCGCCTGAGTCACCAGTGAGCTGCTCCTGGCCACTGCTCTTGCCCTCCCCTGTTAGATGTGGTCTCTTTGCTTGTAGGATCACAGCTGGGGAGGCAAGGCTGTAGGAATCAGAACAGAACGTTGCCTCCGATTGCCTTTTGGGATTCATCGGAGAGGAAGTGGCAGCCATTGGGGGCCAGCTGGGCTGAGGCCTGGAGCTGGGGGGCTCCCCTGGTGGACTGAGGGGAGCAAGTACACGGGTAGTTTTGTGTTCACCAAGTATCTATTTAAATGCAGAGGTTGTCCTGGGATGGGGGAAGTGTGTGTTTTCTTCCTTTCTTTTCTTTTTTTTTTTTTTTTTTAAGATTTTACTTATTTGACACAGAGAGAGAGACAGCAAGAGAGGGAACACAAGCAGGGAGAGTGGGAAAGGGAGAAGCAGGCTTCCTGCCAAGCAGAGAGCCCGATGCGGGGCTCGATCCCAGGATCCTGAGATCATGACCTGAGCCGAAGGCAGTCACTTAACCAACTGAGCCACCCAGGCACCCCAAGTGTGTGTTTTCTGAGAAGGGGACTTCGATAAGATCAGGTGGCTTCTCGGAGGCGGTGATCGCAACGGGGCAAGAGAGAGTACATTTCAGGAACGGGAGGCTGTTTCTGGCTTTCTCTTACTCCTAAGCTGGGTGGTTTTACTTTCTAGCCAGTTACTGCAAAGCTTTCTTCTGGATGTCATCTCTTTTTGCTTCTGACATCAAAGCTGCTTTGCCCTTGGTTTCTCCTTGCTGCAAACTCAGCCCTTCTCTTTTCTCTGCCTTCGTGTGTGCTGTGGAGGTCACCACCCACACCTGCTCCAGCCTGGTTACTGCGCCTCCCTAATCCAGCCGGGGGGAGTCATCACGTTGTGGAGCCCACTCCGAGTTCTTGGGCGATGCTTTGTTGAAAGTCAGGGGCAAGTGAATGCGTGGCCCTGGGGGGCAGTGGCCTCGTCTCGGGCCACACTTGGCTCTTTTTCTCTGGGCTCCAGGGCTCTGTGTCGCATCAGTCAGGTCTGGTGACCGCCACTGCCCCTCTTACCGCAGAGGCTTTGCACACGCTGTTGGCTCTGCCTGGATCCGCTTTCCTTCCTGGTTAAATCGTTGCGCTCTCAGCCACAGGAATACATCAGGCTTCCAGGTATCACACGGCACCAAAAACCCGGAATCTGGGGACCCTGCTCTCCAAGCTCATTTTCCTAAAGCAGCATCTTCCAGTCCGTTTTCAGGAGTTATGCTGACCTGATGGTTGTTGAGGCTGAGGGAGCGGTGTGAGAGCCAGACTCTGAGCCAGGTAGATTGCCTGTGACCCTCCAGCCCTGGGTGCCAAAGCCACCTGCCCTCAGGATATCTTCCTGGATGTTGGCACCTGGTGGCACTAACTGCCTTTGATCACTGCTGTCCTTTGATGTGTCATACTGATGTCTGTCTCCTCACTCGACGGTGTGCACTCCGGGCCGGGGCCTGTCTGGGCCGTTCACGCTTGTCTCCACGCTGCCCTGGCCTTTGGGGTCTCAACTCAGGACCCCACTACCGCATTGGTTTGCAAGTCTGAGTGCAGCCTTAGTTGCCCGATGGAGGAGCCAGAGGTGGGATGTAAAGTCCCAAGAATAGGGGTTTACACAGACACATCGGGTGTGTGCAGGTGTGTCCCACGCGGTACACTCCCAGGGGTGCCTCTGTGCTGGGGTGCCTGCCTAGATGCACAGACCTTTGAGTGCCGGGTCCCTGCTGTGAGTGTGTGTGTGTGTGTGTGTGTGTGAGAGAGAGAGAGAGAGAGAGAATCCCTGAGATACTGAGGAAGATTGTGTGTGAGCGAGTGCATGTTTGAGAGAGAGCATGAGAGATTGATCAGGAGAGATGGTGAGAGAGAGAGACATTGTATGACAGATTGAGTGAGAGAATGGTGGGGAGCGAGATTGAGAAGGATATTGAGAGACAATGAGCAAGAGGGGGAGAGAGAAAGGGAGGGCAGTTGAATTAATTGAATGAGGCCAAGAGAACCTGGTGTCTTTTCCCCACCTGTTCCTACAAAGTGGGGTGCCCCCAGAGCCAGGTGATTTGGAGGGCTCTCAGCCTCAGAGACCCTGTGGAGGCCAGCCCACAAACAGAAAAGGCCCAAATCCTGTATTTGACTATAGGCTCCCGGGGGGGGTGGGGTGGGTGTGTGTCTGCGATGGTGGGCTCTTGGAGGGTTCTGGGGGTGGGTCATGGGCTTGGGGTGCCTTCATGGTCCTGAGGGAGCAGGGAATGGTGTTGACCCCTCCTGGTCAGTGTTTCCTGCTGCTCTCTGGCCAGGAAACAAAGATGAGAGCGTGCTGAGCTGCAGATGAACTTGAGTGCCTTCTGTGGGCTTGCTCTGGTGGGGCTAGAAGGGGTGGGCAGTTGGGACAGTGTTCATGGGCCCTGGGAGGGGCAGGGCATGGAAACCCACAGAAGCAGAAATCTGGAGAGCAACGTGGGCCAAGGAATGACTTGGGGTCAGTGGGCCAGTCTGTGGTGCTAATGGGGAGAAGCAGTGACGCATGAGGCTTTGCTCCCCACCAGCTTCTCCCACCTCAACCCCCATCTCGCCTCTAGTTAGCAGATGCTCCCCGGGAGGGGTGAGGGCTGCGGCAGCTGTGGGGGTAGGAGGAGGCTCCGCCTGCAGGGGCTCTAGCAGGGCCGTGGGTTGGGATCTGAGGGCAGGTCCAGGAGTTTGCTGGTGACCTTTCAGCCAGGGCCGCTCTGGAGGACCTGGCCCTGCATGGTGTGTGGGTGTCGGGACTCTGCGCACCCTGAGTGGGCGTGGGGGGGTCCCTGGCTGGGAGAGGGGTACACGCTCTAGCCGAGATGGGGGGCTCGGAGACGGGAGGGGCCGGTGTGGCCCGGGTGGAGGTGGGGAAGCTGATCCAGAGCCATCCGGGGAGGGATTCTGTGTGATAGTGTCTCCTGGGGTAGCAGGCCCATCCGGAGGCAGTGGGCACTCACCAGGTGCCTGGTTCCTGGAGACAGAGCCCAGGGAGGGTGTGGGGTCCCGGGAAACCTGGAGAACCCGAGGGACACAGCTGGAGCCACAGGGTGCCTTCTCCCTTTCCATCTTTTTTCTCTGGCCCTGAGCACGCTGCTGGGCTGCCCTCCCAGAGCCTGGGGGTGGGGGTGTCACAGTTGACCTTTTCCTGTCCTGCAGAGGACATGGGGCCCCCGCGGGCCTCCCTGGGCTGGCGGGACTGTGGCCCTGAAACATCTGTACTTGGCAAGGAAGTGGCCAGCAGTGGTGCTGGTGTGCCTGTGACATGCTCACCTGTCACTCCTGTTGTCCCACGCTGGCGCCCCTCCTCTCCACACCTCTGCAGGTGCGCCCGCCTGCCACACACACCTGCGCTGTCCACGGGGTATGCAACTGCCTCACAGACCACCTCCCGGGCCTGAAGCTGCTAGCACACATCTGTCCAGGCACTGTGTGACGCAGCCGGCTCACTTCCCTGGGACAGTGCCTGGGCCATCCGTGTCCCTGTCCTCGGTCAGCCTTGCGGACCCTGAGGGTGGGGCTCGAGTCCAGGAGGGGCATTTCACCAGGCCCAGTGTTTACTCAGCCTCCTTCAATCCCAGATTGTTTGGGAAACACGCTCTTCCCCCTGAGCCAGCCGCGCTGGGAGGATTGCCAAAAGCCTCTTCCGCTGGGCCCTCTGCCTGGGGTCGATTTCAGCCACCCTCCGCTGTCCTTGCAGCCAGATGGGGGCTTTGAGTCTCGGCCTTCCCGGCTCGGCTCAGCTCTCTCCTGCCATGCCCACCATGTGGTTGACTGTGACCCTGCAGAGGGGGCCTTCCTCCGATGTGGGGAACAGGTCTCATGGGGAGTGGAGGGAGGCCCACTGGCCGAGAGGAGTGCCCGCAGGGTGCAGAGAAGGCTCTGTCTGCGAGGAGACAGACTGACCAGGCCGGTACCACGTGGACTGGGAGGCAGAGAGGGGGCCCACCCTGTCATGTATGGGGGTCAGGAGCCACTCATGTGGGTGAGGAGCCCCATGGTCCTAGGGGAAGACCACAGGAGCCCTGGGTGGGAGTGGTGGGGTCTCCCTGCTAGGAGTCAGGGGGGAAAGTTTGCATTTAGCTGTGAGGTGGGCCCACCCTCCCTCCTTCTTTTCGCTCTTCTTATTTATTTATTTACTTTTAAAGATTTTATTTTAAAGTAATCTACACCCAACGTGCGGCTTGAACTCACGACCCCGAGAGATCAAGAGTTGTATGCTCTCCTGACTGAGCCAGCCAGGCATCCCTCTCTCGTCTTTAAAAAAAAAAAAAAAAAGTGGGCGCCTGGGTGGCTCAGTTGGTTAAGCGACTGCCTTCGGCTCAGGTCATGGTCCCGGGGTCCTGGGATCGAGCCCCACATCGGGCTCCCTGCTCCGCGGGAAGCTGCTTCTCCCTCTCCCACTCCCCCTGCTTGTGTTCCCTCTCTCGCTGTGTCTCTCTCTGTCAAATAAATAAATAAAATCTTAAAAAAAAAAAAGTAATTAAAGACTGTTATATTTGGTCTGATTGGGGAAAAAAAGAATAACTCACTGGCTTTTGGACTGAGCACCTGGGTGGATATATTCCCCGTTCCCTGGAGGGGAAGATGTGGTAGAACAGGTTCCGTGTGGGAGTGTAAATGGAAAATTCTGCTTTGCCATATGGAGGCAAAGGACAGACACCACTGTGTCTGTCACGTGGAGCAGGCAATTGGATATTTAAGTTTGGAGCTCAGGGAGGAAGTCAGGGCTGGTGATCGAAAGGTGTTCGAAATCATCGCTGAGATCACGGGGAAGGAGGGTGAGACAGAAAAGGGAAGGGGCCCCACATCTAACTCTTGGCAAGGGGGATGGAGCAGCAGTGGCTGGTGAGGTGGGCTGGCGGGCTAGGGAGGGTGGATTAAGGTGGCATCGGAGAAGCCTTGCAGAAAAAGGGCAGGGTCTGCAGCAGGGGCTTTGGAAAGATGGAGATCACCGTGACCTGAATAAAGCTGTTGCAGGGCCGTGATGGGGCACAAGTAGGTCGGAGCCCACTGAGCTGAGGGGATGGAAGGAAGAGGAAGCGTCAAGAGTAGCCAGCTCTTTCAGGTGTATTGGGAAGAGGTGCAGCAGGGGAAGGGGGCTTGGGGCAGGGAGAGTTCTTTTAGTATGCGGAGGCCCGTTTGAAGCTCCCTGCCCGTGTCCGTAAGAGCATGTATCCCCCCGCCATGGGCATCCCAGGGTTGTCTTGCCCACCAGACCCCACTCTCCGAAGCGACAGGGTCTGGGCTGCAGCAGTCACAGCTGGGTCCAGCCCCTTGTCCAGCATCTGGCTCCAAGGATGCTGGTGGATGCTGGTGAAGGGAATGGGCCGGTACATATAAAGCACTGGGCACACTAACAGGTGCATAATAAATGCTCAGTAAAAGTGAGTTACTGTTGTCTGGCAGATGGGGAAGCAGCTGAAGACGGGGTGGTAGCAGTTCTAGAGGCCACGGTGCCGCCGGAGAAGCCTGGACCGGGGTGCTGGCTCCAGGTCCCGAAGGATGGAGGGGTTGGAGGTGCCCAGCAGCACCAGGCAGGCCAGCTTCGGGAGTCAGGGCGGCAGCCAGCCCCGGAAACGGATCGCATCACCACGCAGGAGCTCCCAGCTCCAGGGGAAACCAGGAGAGACCCCGGAGGAAGGGGCTACCTAGGGAGAGGAGTCATTTATTGAACCTCACCAGGATAGTGTGTCTTGCAGATTCATCATCCCCCAGCCACCATGACGCATATGGAAGGTGCCAACAGCTTTGCGCTGACTGGGGAGGCATCCGGCGGTGGCGCCATGGAGAACCTGAGCCAGAGACCGGTCACCGGGGGCCCTTTTGACCTCCTGTTGGGCCAGAGAGATGTGATCATCCCCGTGTGAGGAATGCACAGATTCTCTTTTCAACCAGCTCAGTGTCCCTGAAGATGCGTGTCAGGACGGCAGATGCCGCTGGAGATCTTCAAGCAAATGAACGAGAGTGACCGAATAGCTGCAGACAGAGCTAAAGGAGCCAGACTGGCAGAAAAGCTTGCGAGGGCCCGGGCTGCACCGAGAGACTGGATCCAGAGGCAGCTCGGTACCTGAGGGAACACGGCCCATATAAACGACGACAGCCGGAACCGGACAGTGAGCCGAGGAGGGTGGAAAACCGAGTGCACCAAGTCCGGGTGCAGCCGGGCGAGCTGCAGACGACCAGCCTCTTCAGTGCAGCCTTTCACATCTGGCACAGAGGACAGACAGTTCGGTACGATCGGGACCCTCAGACCGGGTCGCCTGCCCAGTGTCCCTGGGGGCACCGAATGAGGTCAGCGCCGCTTGGGGCCGGAAGGCATTGCTGCTGTACTCCCTGGACGGGCAGATGGGTCTGAAGTTTCAGAGGCAGCGACTTGCCCCCTGGGGAAAGCATTTCATTCTGGAGCCTCTGGCGGACAACATAAGTTGCTGTGATTGTCTTGTTCTGGAACTTCTGACCACGTGATGGTGGCTTTCTGGGGCGCTGTGCGGCAGATCGAAGAGGGAGGTGGAGAAAGGGAGAGACCCATTTTCGTCTTCCTCACAGGAGGCGAGATTGAAGACCCAGGAGGTCGTGTGGCTTCGGCGCCATGAAACCCCAGTCTAACCCCGATGGAACAGTGGCCCGAAGTTCTCCGGTTCACGCTGGCGGATTTTAAGTGGGGTCTGGCTTGGGCATAGTTCTGTAGCCAGACTTCCTTTTTCTCCTTCGATGCCCGCCCCAAAAGCTTTGTGTTCTGTTTGCAAAAATAAATGTTTTGAATCCCATTCAGATAATATCAAACAGCATATGTTTACAATACTAGAAAAGAAAAAAAAGTCCACAAAGCTGCTCTATTTTAAAATATTGGAGGGTCAGTTCTGGAAGCACAACCTGCCATGTACAGCCGTGTAGTAATGCCCAGGCTGCTCTGCTGGAGGCATGAAACGGTGTTCGTTACTATTTGAGACATTATGGGGAGGGTTAATTATTTGTAATGAAAGGTTTGCAGCAGCCTGAGAAAAAAGCAAGTTACTGTTCTCGCTCAGGTGAACAAACATAGGATAAAGCGTGTCTGGAGTTTGTACGTGGGTCCCTCTGTGGGGACAGTGTCTGTGTCCCTTCAGCGATGCTGTGTGTGACTTTGCACGCGTGGGCCCACCTTGTGTCCTAAAACCTGCCCCTGCACAGCTGGGACCACCTGCTGGGAAGAGGCCACACGACCTGGAGACCCGGAGACGGGGCATGATGCGTGAAGACCTCCAGGCCCCTGCTTTGGCGGTTCCAGGCAGACATTTGTCTGGCTCTGAGGTCACAGTAGTGTCCCTGACTCGGGTCAGCTCCCCCCTCAGAGGGGACCACTGAGCCAGCTGCAGACCTTCTGCAGACCTCACTGCTAGGACCATGTCCATGTAGATGTCCCTGTGGCAGGTGGGTCTCCAGGGCCAGGGCCCTCTGAGCAGCCTTCCGTGCAAGTCCTCCCCTGGGTCTCATGGCCGTTCTGCAGCTCTCCCCTTCCTCCTGTGCTACAGGCGCTCCTCTCACCCCTCGGTGCTGTGTTGAGCCCCCTTTGGTCCTGATCTTCTCCTTTCTCCATCCTACTCAGGGCTGGGGCAAGACCCTGCCATATGTCTTCATCAAGAGGAAATGTGGTCCCACGTTCTCAAACAAACTCGCTGGTCTGCATTTGTCCACGTCTCCTTGCCACTGTCACTGGGAGAGTGGCTCATAAGCATGTTCGAGATCCCCCCATGTTCAAGCACGTTTGACAGTCTCCCTAGTTCCGTGCTGCTCTCCAGGTTCAACTGGAGTCATGGTTTTCCTTTTCTTTTTTCACTTTATAGTGAGACATATATCATGTATGCTGAGGCTAGAAAACACGTAAGTACAATTTAAAAGAACGTGCCAGGGGATCTACTTCCTAGCTTGAGAAATAGAATATATATTAGCTGAATCCCACATGGGCCCTGCTCCGGGCACATCCTCCTGTAGTTACCCCCTCAGGCATAACGAGCCTGCTGAGTGATGTGTGAATTACCCCTGTGCTTTTCTTTTTTTTTTTTTAAGATTTTTTTTATTTATTTATTTGAGACAGAGAGAATGAGAGAGAGAGAGCACATGAGAGGGGGGAGGGTCAGAGGACGAGGCAGACTCCCTGCCAAGCAGGGAGCCCGATGCGGGACTCGATCCAGGGACTCCAGGATCATGACCTGAGCCGAAGGCAGTCGCTTAACCAACTGAGCCACCCAGGCACCCTCTTTTTTTTTTTTTTAAATAATTTTATTTATTTATTTGAGAGAGAGACAGAAGGAATGAGAGAGAGAGAGAGCGTGAGGGGCAGAGGGAGAAGCAGACTCCCTGCTGAGCAGGGAGCCTAATGTGGGGCTCCATCCTGGAACTCTGGGATCATGACCTGAGCCGAAGGCAGTCGCTCACCCAGGCGCCCTTTTTTTTTTTTTTTTTTTACCCCTGTGCTTTTCTGTATTGTTTTGCCACCAGGTAGCCTTAAACAATTTATTGTTTAGTATTGAACGCTTTGGGACTGTCTTATATTACTCGGATCACCCTGTGGGCTTTCTTCTGTGTTTACTTCTGCCCAGTCTTACATTTGAAAGATTCATGCATGTGTTTGTGTGTGGCTGGAATCATTCATTCTGATTGCTGGGTGATCTCCCATTGATGAGCACAGCACAAGTGATGTAACCATCATACTGTACATGGCTATTTGGGTCGTTTCAAGTTGATAGCTTCCGTAGAGAGCATATCTGTGTGCATTACTATAACCCTTATCTTGGTTCATCTATTTAAGAATTTCTCTAGGTTATATGCCAGTGAGTCATATGGTATGTGTAATATTTCCTGTTCCTAGATATTGTGAAATCATTTTCCAAAGTGGTTGTAACAATTTACATATAACCCAAATTCAAGACCGTAGCACTTTTACTCACCTTCTTCCTTTTTGCCTCTACTGTGTTACATCTATATTATATATGAATTCATCTATGTCACATTTTTTTTTTCTTTAAAGATTTATTTATTTATTTGAGAGAGCGAGAATGAGAGAGAGAGTACATGAGAGGGAGGAGGGTCTGAGGGAGAAGCAGACTCCCTGCCGAGCAGGGAGCCCGATGCGGGACTCGATCCAGGGACTCCAGGATCATGACCTGAGCCGAAGGCAGTCGCTTAACCAACTGAGCCACCCAGGCGCCCTATGTCACATTTTTAAGGATAAAATAAATCATGAGTTTATACTAATACTTCCTTTTTTATTAAAGACTTTATTTATTTGTCAGAGAGAGAGCAAGAGAG